AAATGATCACTTCCTGTGTCAAAGTTTCGGACAGTTTGGTCCAGTACCCTTACAAAAAAAAGTGTTGTATCCGAATCGACTGATTCGAAGAGGGTTTCACTTCACCTTAAAGCTCTTTTCTGTATTGCCTCCCACCGTTCGTGTAAACGCGTTCACCGTCGCAGAAAGACTAACTTAAAATACCAAAGATAGTCGCGAAAAAGCGTGTAAACCATGCTTACGTTACATAAAATATGTTATGCCATAGACCGTAATAGTACGAGAGTTGTAGCACTAATTAAGTTGGGGCATTGATCAAGGTTTTACCGCGCGCTTATTTTAATATAAGTGTCATGAATTCAGAAAACGCTTCAGCATCGTCCTCCATTTCTCCGGTAACTGACAATATCTCTGAACGGATAAGAAAGCACATAAACTGTGACATTACAGTTTCGAGATTCTTTTCTAATCATTCATTGAGGTACAATGATCGGTAGCACCTTCTTAGACTTAATTTCGTGTCGATTTCTCCACGTTTCGCTGACGTAATAGGAGTGACACCAAACAGAACACCGAAAGTAAGGCAATTTGTTCACTTATTATTTTTCTTTTTTTTCCCTCGAGAATCATAATCTTTCCGGCAATTTAATTTACTGACCATCTCGATTTAATGGTCGATCTTATTTAATTAATTTTAATACGTAACATTACGTTGCATCCATTCCTCCCTTAGAAGAGATTTCACATCGTGTGATTATCATTTCCTACACTTTTTCAGTTCAATGAAATCTCCTGAAATTCAATGCGTTGCACTTGTCATCAGAAGGTGAGTATTATCGGTTTCGTTTCTTCACTTTTGATAAGTTACCGCTCCGAAGGTAGTTCTTCTAATTTGGTTGGCTAAACTAATCTTTATATACGTCATATTAATTGCACAGTATCCGCATGTTTACTTCAGCTTTACACGGAAAACATTACAAGGGAAACGCAATCCGTGTACAGTCCAAAATTACAATAAGTTCATCCATAAAATCCGGAATTACAAAGTTAATAATTAAAAGCGTTGGCACAATATTGGTAAATTCAGGGAGACACGCGAAGAAAGGTAAACATTAGATTTGACACCTCGCTTCAAGTTGATTAACAGACTTATCCTGTATCTAGACTTCGATCCAGCTTCGCTACTTATTGTTGTATCGACCCCAACTCCAAACGTTCGCACTTCCTTTTTCTTTTCCGTATATATTCGTTAAGGTGAAGTGAAACACGTCGAAGAACTTGATCAACGTCGATAAAGAAGATTTTTCTAAATGCCTACGTTGCCGACGTTCGTTTTTATATTGACAGCTGTATCGAATTATATTGGGTATTGTATCAAATGGCATACTCCACCTGTCATTTTCGTACAGTAATTATAAAGAAATCGAAGTAAAACTCCAGAAATCCTCTGGATTCATGCTTTCTAGGTCCCTAATTGACTGCAGAGGGACACTCTGCGCCATCTGTGATTTTCAGGTCAATTAAATTTTCACTCCGAGACCTCGTATTACCATCGTTTTAGCATACAAGCTCATACAACACTTTTTTTGTCTTTATCCCGTTCAAATGCGAGTTTATCGACTACCAGAGTGTTTTAAATTGTCGTAAAATTGTCCTGACCTTTTCGATTCTCATATGTGCCCATAATTATAAAAGTGGTCTGTCAAAATTAAAAAAAAATGAGTTTATCAGTTATTTCACGCCATATTATTTCAAAGGAAATTAATTCAATGTAATTTCGAAACGAAAAATATATGACTTAGACCACTTTCATAATTATGGGTACATATCAGAGCCTTCGATAATTGTATATCGATCGAAATATGAGAGCTCGACGCCATTTTGATTCTGGTCTGGGCTGAGTTAAAAAATTAAAAAGTAAAAATCAAAATTTTGAATGTGTCAGGACAATTTTTAGATGATCAGGAGAGATGTGTTAAAGTTTTGGACAGTTTGGTCTATACCCTTAAAAAAAAGTGTTGTATTCGAATCGACTCATTTCAAGGGGATTTCACTTCACCTTAAAGAAGCAAATGAAAACTTCTTGAGCAATTGCAACGTGGTATCGAAACCCATAACGGAATATACGGATTTCTCTCGAAAATTCATTGTCGCTTTCATTTTCCCTCTCTCTCTCTCTTTCGAAGTTTTCAGAGAATTTCAAATCATCCAATCCTGTCGATGGTCCCAGACGCACGTGACTTATCACTTTTATCGCAACTGTAAAGAGCACTGATACGTGATTATTCAACCAAACCGAATCATCAAGTACGCCCTAAAAGTTTTACAGAAGGATGATTTCCAGAACTGTCTCATATATCCGTGTAAGTGAATTTAAATAAAGTCATATGTTTCAGCCACGACCGAAGGACCTCTAATCAGCGAATGTATTTCTAAATAAGAAACTTAGAATACGAAAAAGCGTATTTGGTACACGTAAGAGGACGCGCTCATGCATACGTGTACGTGCACAACTTCATCCGAAGAAGTTACATGTTCGACGATGATGATAATAGTAATAATAATAATAGTGATGGTAATAACAATAATGATTATCCGCCACATATTCTTAGAAATCGAAACCCGCCGTAATGCGCGCGGGTTACTCTTATTGCACTAGAAATAAATATCCACAAATAGTGACTTATCGACTAACATAAAATGTTCGAGTAATCGAATGTGTTCACTCTTCACCGTTAGTTTGCAGAGGGTGAAATCTGTAATACTAGGTTTATAAGTTAAGCTATTTATTACCACAAATGTATAATAACATTGATTAACGTTTCTCCCATTCCCCTTCCCAATCACACATTCTTAAATACCGATTCCCACCCATCGGTTGAATCAAAAGTATACTAATCTTTTCGCTTCTTTTAACATTCAAGGTATACGTAATTCTATGTTCTTTGTTTTTAGAGACTGCCGCGGCTGGTTACATAAGGTGTAAGTGATTAAATGTATTTCAAGGATTAAAAGACAGTATCGTTAATACGAAATCGCACCTACGAAACCATATCACCAAGAAACTAGAGAGGAAGGGCGAAATAAAATACGGTTACCGACACACTCTGCCGTTTAACTATTCGCAGAACCTGAGATGCATCACGGCCTTCAAATTTCCATGTCGCCGATTTAATGGAATACTATTAGAAAAATACTTTGTGGCATCGTCTAGGCGGAAGGCTGTACCATGGCGGACATGAATGCCTCCCCTGCAGATGCGGCATCGCCTGTGCAGGTTGGGAGGGCATCGATGTCTCCCAGGGTACACGGCGAGGGAGAAGAAACCGATGCTCTTAGGAAGGGTCAACACCGGGCCAAAATTAGAAGTTCGGAACCACAGAGAACGACCAAGAGACTTGTTAGTCTGCCTTTTAAAAATTCTTTTTTTTTTCTTTTCGTTAGTGTTGTGGTATTGAACATCGGAACGTCATGGCGGAGGTGACCGTTTCGAACATCCATAATCACTAGATTTAAAAGTAGATCGGTTTGTCGTCTTCCGCGTTAGTATGAAATATACAACTTCTGACTGAAATACGTTTACAGGGACCAATGGGAACTGGACTGTCTTCGTCAGCCCAAGCAATGCACAACAACCGGACGGACCTCATGATTCGTCCTTAAAGGCGCCGTTTCTTGAACTTTAGGTCGCTATTCGTGGCGCTCGGTTGACCAAAAGGTCTGTAGACTTTGCAGATAGTCTCCCGAAAATCTTCGGGAGAACTAGTAATCCGGAACTACGTCACGTAAAAGGGTTCCCCATGAAAACATCTTAAGTTAATGGTTTAAGCGTTATTAACTAAATAGTTACAATTTCATGGGCATTCTTGCGACAATGGCCGTTGAAAAAACTTTTGATAGTCCGTTGTTTCTACATCTAAGTAAGGAAATCGTCGCCAAGGTGGGCAAAATGATAACATAGGTTAATTGATGTACTGGATCGTGTACAATTTCGAGTTCTGGCCCAATCGACATCGTCGTTGATCTATTGACGGCCATTGGATGAAATCGAACAATCGTTGCAGCCTACTTGCACGGAAATCATGCTGCGTTTATCAGCAATCACCAATCACTGGAATAGGCATCGCTAATATAATTTTTACCAATGAAATTAACATTCCGTTCGGTGCGATTACAGGTACATTATCTATGAACGGTACAGTAATATCATCCTGTGACGAAAGAACTCTTAACAGTGGTACAACAGTTAATCGGTATTATCGGAAATACCAATTGACTGCAATAGTAAATAATCCTTCTTTCGTCTACCTCTAGAAACGCAATCCACACATTTAAGGATTTACGCCAAATGTCAGTCGATGCGTCATGTCGGAATTTTCTGTATCTCTTTCGTAATGATCGTTGGAAATCTGAAATATCACTTCGTCACTTAGTTAATACGTTCGATTAATTCCCCATGCAGGAAAGACCAGATATAATGAATATTTAGACATAAGTATCTAAGGATAGATGAATATAAACATTACGTCCAGTTCAAGTCCAAGTCCCGAAAGCGCTGATGACGTCAGGTCCACGATGCAACCGAAGGTGCTTTTCTTTCATCCACGTGTTCAACGTGGGGATTTTCGGCACACCATCGATTCTCCGAGAACCATTAAATCGATCTTCTCTCGAGCGACAAAGAACGGTCTGAACAAGATGGGCCTCAAGAACTCGGAGTATGAAAGGAATGGATGGAACAATTACCCTACAGAAGCTTAATATCTTTTAGGTCTAGTAATAACTACAAGGCATCAGTACGTATTGAGGGTTCGGTTCATCCGTAAGATGTCGAGGTGGATGAACGATCGTTAACGCAATAGACTCTAGGGTTACGAGAGACAGCAATTGTTGACTAATCGTTAGTGTAATTAAGATGAGCTACACATAATGGTTTATGTACAAGGACGCTGCAGTACGTTCGCTCGTACGAAGATATATCGGATCGTCCACGATGAATCCGATTAAGTCGACTGACAACCTGTATTAAAGTGGTATATTTATTTATTAGAAAACCAGAAAAACAAGTCACTTATTGTGTCCACGATTTACAGTTAACTCGTGGTACCGATCAAAGCCCTGTCACCACATTTACGAGTACAATCCGTCTTCAGTTTCTTTAAAATACAGAATAAATTTCCTTAAATTATTTAACTTTCGCGGGTAAATATAAACAAACATAAAAAAAAAAGGTGGCAATTTACAATTAAATGTACAAATAAAGGTGTCGCGTGTTGTAGAAAAATATGTTGATTTTTTTTTGTTTCCTTTCCAAGCTTTCTAATTGTGCTCCCTTGACTGGAAGGTACTAAAAAAATACAGAATACGCAGCAACATTCGAAAGTCCTAGGAATATTAGGAGGACGATGATGATCTATAAACGATATCGTTAATCTGCCACGATCGATTATCGCGATTTAGAATACAATTACGGTATACGTTTGTCGGCTCGAGGTAAAAGCTGCGACGCGAACGGAAATGCTGCGGCGGACGTATCTGGCTGGTGTCAGCCATTTTCTTTTTCATTCGAGCGGTTCTACGGAACTTGGTCCTATCGTCGCTTTTGGAATTCCGCATGAGCCACGTTAAATAATATTTAAATAACGAAACTGTATATACGCAGTAAATCGTCGTTCCAATACCTACGCCAGGACAGAATTATTAAATAGATATTTTTGGCAAATAGTAACTAGGTTCCTTAGACGTTTGCCGCTCTTAATTTAATCTCAATTTATTCTCAGTGTTCGGTAACTACTTCTTAAGAATACGTTTAAGCGAACGAAGGGGGAGTTGGCTAGTTAACGTCAATTGCTTAAATCATTCCTTCTCTGGTATTACTATATGCTTCCTACCTTAGATTCATTTTTAAAATCATATCTCCGAACCGCAAGGGGGAACACATTACCTTAGAGTACCTTACCGAAACCGAAACGTGGAGAAAAGGGACAAGAGGGAGCCATCTTGAATGCCAAGTGCGATTGCCCGTTTCTTAGCCTTTGTTACCGAGAGTGTCCAGAAAGATAAGCACGAGATAAAGCGTTATCCCGAATTCTTTAGATCTCGATTCTTCAATGGGAACGCATTAGTCGGAATGATTATTGCGCGGGGAATTTTACAGTTGCGTGTCTGTAAAAGATCTTGCAATAAATAAGGCTTAGGATCGCAAAGACTAGAATCCAAGCATACGAAATATCGAGTTGAAACACTTTTCGAGAGGTATAAAAGCTGCAATCAACATATTTTTTTTCTTTTTTCTTTCTTTCTTTCTCTTTTTCCGAATCTCAGTAATATGGCCCCATTAGGATTCACATGGAAATCTCCGATTTTTCGTACAGATCTATTAATCCGAAATAAAGGAATAGTAACAAAATTTCCCCAGACTAGGAGAGCCTAAATCCACTAAGGAGAAAACCGAACGCTACCTTCGCGCAGGAAAAAGGAGCTATTTCGACTAGGTGAGTTGATTTTGGAGAAACCGGAAACCGGTAATTACCCCGTATCAGAGAAGGAAGGCATTTCTTGCGTTTGTCACATTTGTATCTAAACGGAAACGTCTTAACGCATGTTACCGTAGCGCCCTGCAAGTAACAATGGTTTCATTTAAGTACAAATATATTAATCTCTGGCTTACGAGGAAATGTCATAGATCACCGGCTTGTCAAATCATGAATCGTCCGAAACTCCAAGGACAGGATATAATTAAGAGGAATTTGAGATCTTAAATGTTACCACCTTAAAGCCGTATCTAGCAACGGGTGCAATTTACGAAGCACTGAAGAAACGATTATCTCCGCCGAAATGGACGAGTCTAAGGCAAAGTGAAAGGACTGAAAATGGAATTCTTAAAATAAAATAGACGTAGAATATGCGCGAGAGGATAAATCCCTAGAAAAGCTTAGGTTCCTCCGTACGAGTGCGGCTAATGTCAAACAGTCGTTAACGACGGTAACGCTCCTAGCGGAAAACCGAGGAAGCAAACGAACTCGCATAGCTAATTCCATGACCTTATGAATCACGAGTTAATCACTCGATTACGAATTACACTGCCCGGACATGGTAAGGTTATAGGGCGATTTCGTAAACGCATTGTTTACGGGAAGGATTCCGCGAAGAAACTGACAAAGGATACGAGTGACTCCGAACGAAAGTAAGATGTCCCGTTCTAAAATACCTTTCCAATTTTCTAACCTTCGATTTCCAGCCTGCGCAAAAGTTAAACTCGAGGATCAAGGATAAAAGATTAAGTAAGGGCAAACGCTTCAAAGCATGCTCTCTTAAGGTAAACGAATTCTTCGAGACGTTCCCTGAATCATGCCGTTTTATATGAAATTTCAGGCCTTTCTTACACAGTTCAGCGGTTAAAAATTTAAAACTCGAGGGCTGCTTAATAAAAGACAGTTGTACGTATTTCGACATGGTTTCGTCTATTCTTTCCCTGGAGAACTCGCATGGAGATCTTGCGTAGCCTTGCGCAGTTAATCCTGACCAACATTCGCGTGGACAACCCAACCGATAGAGATCTATCATAGGGGGAAGGAACTCCCTAAGAACAACGGATAAATAAAATCTGGAGAAAAGGTTCAGGTCACTCCGCGGGAACGGCGCTAGGGTAGAGCCCGGCAGGGCGAAGATCGACATTAGCGCCTCTAGCGTCTAAGCGAGGAAGTGGACGAACTCGGCCTAGGGTAATGGCGCCGAAAACTGAGAATACCTTATACAAACACAAATATGTAAATATAAGTAACAGCGATGGGTGCGCACGCGCGCGTGTTTGTAACAATGACGACGATGTGCGACGGCCACAATGACAACAGCTATAACCAATACGGAGCATATAATACAATATATAAATGAGAATACTTACTATCTAAGATGGCATGTGTAGTCGGACCCTAAGGACTAAAATCTATCGACAGTTCCCACCTCTGGTCCAAGAGACCTACTCTGACCTGCACCAAAGGAAAATAGGAATCAAAAAGAAACGGGATCGACGGAAAGGGAGAAGATTCTATGTGCGAAATTACAGGATCGGAAAGCCGGAAGAAGCACCTCTTCTGAGTCGCAACAATAGTGTGTTCCCTAACCTCTAAAGGCTAACCTCCTCTCTCTCTCTTAGTTCATCTACCAGGCACGCAACACACCGTGGTTCACTGTTTTTTTTGTTTTTTTTTGGATTTTCTCAATTTTTGTCTTTTATAATATTTGCTCGTTTTCCCCTCTCTTTCGCATATACACACACATACGCTAGTCACTCTCGCTCACTCTCAGTTTCTTCTTTCGCTTAATAGTCCCTTAAACCTACGCGAAAAGACAAACGCCAACTATATAATATTAGAACAACGTCTCTCGTCAGACAAGACACGAGAATATCACATTGCAGGTGTATGTTTTTATCTCCCTTAAGTTCCTAAAAAATTACCACGATTCTCCTTATGTGTGTGTGTATGGTGTGGTGTGGTGTGTGTGTGTGTGTGTTTTATGTTGCGATGGGAGCGGGCATATTCGCACAGACTTCTCAGGATTGCCACAATGTTCGTTTTTTCGTTTATTTTCGAGTTTTTACCCTCTCCTCCATCCAGAGGATAGGATCGAATTACAAGGACAAGAGGAATCATTATTGTCCCTGGCAGTAGGAAACTGTTGTACTGAATTGTACTGAGACCTTAAAGAATATAGGACTCCATTTTGTCGCGAGTAGTGCAAGACTCAGTTTTGTGTATTATACATTAGACGTAAGCATCTACAATCGTTACAAATCCATCGTACTAAAATCGTAATAAAATGACTCTCGAACCATTTCCTTTATTTTCTTTTTTTTGGTATTTCTGGTATAATTGTCGTACAAGACTACCCGAACCAAGTATTACTCGAAAGTAATAATCACAGTTCTTGACTTTTGTTCCGTTTGCCACATTTCCTGTATATTATATTAGCGGATGAAAATAATAACAGCGTAAAGAGCTCTGTGGAGATTCTTGGAGACCTTTAGGATTTTATCAATTTCCCTGCACCCTCGGTTGTACGTAAGTACTCCTTCGTACGCGTCTTGCATATGGGAATTGGTACTTTCAGCAAATCAGTCCTTCACAAATCAACAGCGTTACCTCTCAATTATTTTAGTATTTATATTACTTTTAACAGATTAACTACCCGAGTCGAATGTTACTATCGAATATTATAATCACAGTCACCAATTTATACTGTTCATCACTTTGTTTAGTTATCTTTTTTCTTCCTTTTCTTTTCTTTCCCTCTATCTTTAGGTCAACTCCGAGTCAACGAGAAACTACGAGTCAATCCTGCGATATCTTAGCGAGCAACGCCCGTGTACACATCTGTGCGTATGTATTATATATATATATACCTATATATATATATATCTCTTGTTTTGTTATTCGTTTGTTACATACAGAGCATGCACAAGCTACCCGCATATATTTTCACAACATTCAATAATGGACAATATATCCTCTAGTGGGGCCGTATTATTCGATAATACGCGTGAAATCATAATATGAAGATATAGGCTAGTAATTCGTAATAAATATATTAATATTAAAAATCGTATAGTTTCATTTACTTATCCCTCTACTACGTGTATTTATGCGCGTAGGTATATATGCCTGTACATATATATGTTCAAATGTCTCTTTGAGAATCCCTTACCGGCGTATGTATGCGTGTGTATGTGCACACGTCGGTGCATGCGTAATGTAGGTGTGTATGGTATTTTGTGTATATATATATTTATATATACATGTATACGTATACATACATATATATATATATATTCTTCCTGTTGGACGTGCGTTACGCACATGCACGCGAACCGGTGTACTTAACGATAAGGTCTGCAAAGGATGTTACTTCCTATACGGGGAAGATCGCGCCGCACTCGCGATATACTCAATATGACTCAATACGCAATGTACAGGTGTGATAATCAATGATAATCGATAGTCAATTGATCAGCAGCCCTCATCTGCTGCGGTCGAGAGAGATGTGTTTACATCAAAAATTCATTGTCGCGCTCCTCCACTCGACTCTTAACCCAAAGCCAAACAACGCCAACGTCGACGTCATATAACTTTCTAATTAATTATATTTACCCCCCTCCCCTCCTAGTATCTCACCAGGCGGAATACATCGATAAAGCATTAATCGTCAGAGACCTAAATGTCTAAATTCAATATTATTATCACAACAAATGTCTTCCCGCCAAATCCGCGGAAGGATTCGTCTTACTCTCCGAATCGCGTGCATCATTGGTCGTCACTTTCGAAATCGTGTCGGTCTGTCGGTCCGTTATCGTAACTTGCCCTATGCGTATCGGGTATGTCTCCAAACCCCTTACCCTACACTTATTCTCCTGATAAATACATTAGTAAAACGCTATTGCTGATAACGGGTGTCCTTAATGGTGGTATAATAGTTCTGGTAGCTCTCGTCGTTGATAGTGTCATCGGGCACGATGGCTCGTCTAATTCTTGATTTTATTATCGGGAACCGTTCATTGACTTAACTTATCACTGCCGATGATTGCGACGTACTTGAATACTTGACAAAAGGGGGAAAGAAAGATTCTGGGTTGGAAGTTGAAAAGACGAAGACCTGAGACTCATTTGGAGACGCTTCCAATACTGAGTGTAAGTGATGGAGGCTGATGAAATTCTCGGAACTTGTTGCATTTTCAGAGAATTCCTGGATAGACCTTATCAACGACGGAGGATAGAGCTGATTACCGTTTAAGGAATGGCACCGCTATCGGCAAACACCAATATCACGGACGAAGTAAGACATACGTAGAAGGATAGATCAATGGATCAAAGTTGGTACTTGAGAAAACGATGCGTCCATTATTGCCTAGGTGCATTAATGAGAAAAAAGGGCTTTGTTGTGGACGTTATGATCATTTTAATGCAATAGCAACTGACAATCCAATTAGACGTACCAGAATGATTCGATAAAGAGGTTAACTGATAGGCAAAAAGAAAAGTAATGTGTCAATTGGATCCACGCTACTATTGATGTATGACAGCGCTATAGAAAAGAGATTACTCGCAATAATATCGTCGTTAGCTGAAAACTGCAGCTTTATTGCGTTTCTCAAGTTATCGGAGAACGTTGCTTCTCAAAATTCAACTTTTTGTCTTACTGGAGGTCACAATGTGGCCTATGATAAGCGCATAAGTAATTCGAATTAAACGCGCGATCACCAAAAGTGGGATATATTGTTTTAAATGTGCGATCATAAAAATATGACTGATTTTTCGAAAGTCTCGTGGTCTCGCTTTTATACAGCAACACAATGCAGAGACGAAATGTACAAATGTGAAAAGAACGGTTCATTTTATCCAGGATATCGACGGTAAGTGAATCGAACATAGTGGCTGATCTCTCGTGCAACTAAAGGGCTGTATTTTAATAGAATACAAAAGTAAAGTTTGCAATTTCCAAGCCTGTGACGAATTCTATATTTAACTAAACCTGCATTTACCCTATCCTTCTACGTGCGTGACCTCACTGATATAGTTTCCTCTTTATTTGGCAATAGTTGCCTTCAGTCGGCATTATTTTCGTATACAACACCACGAGAGTTGATAATCATTTAAAAAAAAAAATAGAGAAAAGAAAAGTTTCCACTTCGGTAAACATATTGTTAAAGGATATCAATAGCCAATGATATTCACAGAACGTCCTACCCAATAGTTATAGAATTGATAAACGTCTTACTATTCCCATACATATCCGACCGTATCCAAAAAGTCCACGACATTCATGTGTTTCCCGTAAGTCGAAACTGAGTAACATGAGGTATATTTATAAACATGCTCCCCGGATGCGCAATGATTTGGGTAAGAACATCTTTTTCCTCATACTCACGCACGTAATATTCGGGTAGCATCTAAGTTTAGGATAAGAGCTTTACCTCAGATTTTGCGGGTAATACTTGAGTTTTAAATAGTTGGGTAAGGTGTACCCAGCATTCTGTCGCTCGATTATCCGGTTATCCATTCATCCCCGTAATCTTCAAAAATGAAATATCGCTTAGCCCATTCGCTGCCAGCTACGAGAAATCTCGTAGTAAGCGTACGTGCACTGGGAGACATCAATGCCCTCCCGTCCTGCACAGGCGATGCCGTATCTGCAGGGGAGGCACTCATGTCCGCCATTGTACCAAGACTGCCTCTATATTTTCCTGGCATCGAATGAGTTAAACGGTTTCACTGACTGATAATACGTAGACCATTCGGATAACAGTGCAATCGGGTACCTGGGCCAGTAGAGAAAAAGAGAGAGTGGGTACCCGCTACCAAAGTCTTTCAGTCAGCATTCTATAGTCTGACGTCTGGATGATCTAGGTAGATATTATCGGGACCCAATATCTCGAATACCTCGATAAAGCTAAGAGGGCTATTCGGTATCATCTCGTACACATCGCAATCTCAGGTACCGTATTTATCGTCGGCGTCGGTCGGTCATCTCCCTGTCGCTACGCTTACAATGATTAATTATCTTAAATTAGATCCGTAATACAACTAAGTTAAGGTTCACGTATCCTATTATGTACCTCTCCCGTTATAGCTCGATACGTTTAATATGTTGGCGGTTTCATCTCCTTCCCGATCGCTTCTGAGTGTATTTGCGCTTCTTCTCCGTGAATCGACTGGTAGAAAGCGGAAAGAATCGTTGGACTTTTCAAATTGCTGCTCTTCGCGACGCTTCGCCTTGAGAGAGCCGAAAAGATTCTAGACACTTCCGGCGCCACCCGCGAGACCAACTATCGCAAGGGAAAATACGAAGACCTAAAACTGACTCCTGAATGTTTTTCTCTTTTATCTCCCTCGTTTCCCTTTACCGGGAGTAAAGAACAACCCGCTATCGATATGAGTATCTTTCCTTCGGCGTTGCCTTCCATCGGAAACATCGAACGAAGCGTCGAAATAGAAAACCCACGCCGAATCGACGATAGTCAATCTCGCGAGTTCCTTTCCATTTGTTTGCGGCTCTTAGCGTCGTCATTTGGTTTTTCATTCCATCAGGTACCTTCGACGTTAGGAGTACTAGTAAATTCGATTCAAAACCGTGTTCTGACGATACCCCGAACCGATATCTCGAAGCTCAAATGATTAGCGGGGAGCTCTTCCAACCCCACTAATCCCAGTGTCATCTAAATCATACTAAACGCGAGGCGTACGGTATATTACATGGTCGATCGATCGCCATTTATCGCACGGGTTCACTGGCGCTCTTGTACATCACGAGTGAAGAATTAGCAACGGTATAAATGAAGAAGTCAAGAAGCGTCATCTTATCGGGTCGATGCGTTAGGTGACGACCGTCTTGATCGATATCGCGCTATTTCTACAATTGGCCGACAAGGCTCGAAAATTTAGGTCCAATTGCGATAATCGCCGTCGCTGATTCAGTGTCCAAGTTAGATCCCGATCACGTTGGACCGATTGATTTAGAAAACAATCCCTCTTCAAGGGGAAGGGTCTGAGATATCACCGGATCAATTGTTTCATCGTTCTAAAAATTGATATTCAACTCTTATTCCATTCCGAGTGTTACCTCTCGACCGACATCGCGTTTCTAGTATCTATTAAAAGAGAGGAAAAAAAGAAAAACTTGAAATTCACCTTTATGGATGGGCACTAAATGTCATTTTATAAAAGGCAGGAGCAAAAAGTGTACGCCATCTTGTTTCTATAATACTGAACCGTGTGCGTGTAACGAAAGTACATGAAATAGTAAACTTTCAGACTGATACTACTACAACTGTTTTTCTTCTCGATATGGTATCTTTAAAACTTCTTTTTTCATATTATTTTCCGCTAATGTCTACCTTAATGCGTGATGAATCTCTTTACACATTGAATTTTTGGTAACGTCTCCTGTGTATCCGTGTATTAGTGTCAACAGTGAATCATAAATAAAAGCTACCGAGAAACACAGGTTCATTATACATTTCGGAAAAGATATAAACGTACGTCATCGCAAAAAGAGCACAAACAAAATATCAATTTTAAGATCAATTAACAGACTCATATCCCTTATTTCGGACAGCTAAATTGCAACTGATTTTCCACCTGTACTCACAAAACAAGGGTACAGAGTAGCTTACATCACAAAATGTACTAACAATAAATGCAAAATGTGGGGAAAAAATGAAAAAACCTTTGAATCGTTATACCACGTAAAGAAATCACAAACCCTTCCCCTTGTATGGACTAACGGAAACGTTTCTAAACCCACAGAGCATCCTCCTGATCCGAGCCAACAGAAGCCCACCACAATATTTTGTTCGGTTACTTATTGAACAAAATATTATCTTAAACAATGCTTTGTTGATTTCTACCTCCAACGTCTTCACTCTTCGAGTCGACGCTCTCGCGAAAAGAAGCATGCTAGTCCTCCCAAACCGCAGACGAGATCAGACCGAGGACCCGGTAACATCGCAAACCTGAATCGAGCCATCGACAATCCGACAACATACGGGGGCACTTCCGGAAATCCGACAAATCGTGTCAGATGAGCCTAGACTGTAGACCTAGCTCCAGAAGCGAAGCAATTAAGCCGTCCATTGGTAGAGTCCCTGGACATCTATCCCTCTCTAAATGGATTTACCGACGTTACCGGATCCTCTTCCGAAACTTGGAATACTCGCCTACTCCTATTCAGTATTTTCCTCTCCTAACAGCCTGCCGCCCTCCCGTCGCCTCCCCCTCCCGTTCTGGCATATCGATAAAACTCTAGATTAATAAATGTTACAGAGACACACTGGACATTGGCACGACAGGTGGCATTTAGATTTAATATACAATAAAATTTACGTTATTGCGATAACATTTGGTATCGTTGCGCCGCTGCCCGGCCGGCCCATACGCGCCATATCCTCTTATCGGAACGACCGCGCGGCGGGCGGCGACGCCAATGCTTCTTTTAAGGTTTCTTTTTCTTTTGATTAGAATGGTACAGTCTAAGTTTGATACTCGCTGCAGTCTTTAAACTGTCCAGCGAAGAATGGAACACTCGTCGAGACGGCGCTTACGTCCCTCGACGGGTCTCGGTTCGCAGCGCCACGGTGGGCTGCGGTGGAAGCGTAAGGCGGTCGGCGAGGTCCGAATCCACGTTAGCCAACAACGCGCGCGTTATCGGACAGTCAAAAAGCCTTGGTTCGAGCCGTACGAATTCCACCGAGCACGGCGAAGCTGATAACGCCCTCGTAAACTATCCTTAGGGCCGCAGAGATATGACAGGCTCCAATGAAAACCTGCACTCTTCGCGCGAATGCGGCTTTACTTTTCTCACGAGTCTCCCTCTTTCTCTCCCATCGAGAATTTAATCGATCTCTATTTTGAGGTTTCTCTCGCATATTATTCGCTCTAACGATTACGTCCCTAGTGTATGTGTGTCTGTGTCTGTGTGTGTGTCGTAATTGACGTTTCACGGAGCGTCTTACGAGAGCATCTAAAGATCCGTGTGCCGAATGCATCAGATGACGATCGTTTATCGGGAACGAAGAAAGAGGGGGGAGAGAGAGAGACAGAGAGAAAGAGAGAAAGAGAGAGAGAGAGAGAGGAACTAGCTAAAGCTGAGACAAACGTCATTGCCATCTGGAGTATTCTTTTCACTTTGGACGCATGAGCGAGTGCTTTGCTCAATGTTGATATAGTTCTGGAAGGGATGCAATACAAATGAAAGCAGTCTTAACTACTATCTTCTTATAGATTCGCTATTTTTGGATAATCTTGGACTCAATATGGAATTTTATCATTTTCTACATTTTTAATTGCACCTACGCGTTCGTCACTCGCGCGCTGTGCAAATTGAAGATATTAAAATGACGCGGAATAAAATAATCTGTTATCCGTAAATGCTTCAATATTAATAACAAAAAAGAGAAACAAAGTATCGATTTGTCTAAGTACACACAGGCCGAATGTAATCAGCCGTCACGAGCATCCTTGATTAAACGACTTCAACGTCTCATCGATGTTGAAGATCATTACCCCGAGTCGCTGGTATAATTCTAATAAAATCTAATTCACATTAAATAAGCAATTTACAACTAATTCAGTCCTACGTAATCTTATAGGAAAACGACTCGATTTCTTCACATTTGATTTTTACTTTGCATTGTATTATTTTCTTATACTATATTTTTAAGACTTTACCGATTTAACCCTTTTTTAATCGTTTCTAAACTCGTATTCCTCTTTTTACAACGCCAGGGAGAAAACGTATATTCTGGTATGTGAAAAGTCGAAGACGATTTCGATGTCTCAAGGAATATATGATAAAATGTCATTCTACCGAAACTATTCCGCTCGTCATGTTTCGCTACAACTGCCAGGAAATCTCCTACGGACTCAATCATTTCTTCCAGTGCATAAAAGCTAAGAAGTTACTGCAGATAAAAATAAATTCTTTCAATCGGTAAAGAAATCGGTAGAGTTAAATGTTCCGCTCAAGTACGTTTACAACACATTAGGACGCGCATCTTGTACTTTTCTCTCTTTCTCTCTCCATCTCTGTCTCGCACTCTTCCTTCGTCCTTTACTGTGTTCACCACATGTAGCCTACATCCTCTGTTAAGTAACTGGTTTCAGCTATTACGTCCCTAATGCGCATCGTAATTGACGATTTGTGGAGACTCTTTGAATTGTTCGGCCTTCCAGCTCCCAACTGATGGGTAATTGCTCGCGCTCTTTAGCACATACATGTACATTAAGCTCTCGAAACGGGGAGAGCGACTTTCGGCTCTGTGAAACTAGGATTACTAGTAGAGGGCCATTCCCTGGCCCCGGAAAGTGCTTCCTCTCCCTGCGTCGGGCATAGTAGTGTTGTGGCTCCACGGGTCGGCGTTAGAGGGAGGGGCGAACGCGCTACCTTTCTCCATCCCGGGGATCCGTGATACTCCAACGAAGGGACTCGACCTCTACATCGACTCACCTCCCAGGAGGTCTCCGGGCAAGTACGAGTTGAGGGAGCTGGGAGTAGCCCGTTGCTGATCGCTGGTGTCGATACCGGCGCTGCCCCAGAGGGAGTTGGTCGTGGGGGGTGCACCCCACAGCTGGCTGGTGGTACCACCCCAGGTATCTGGAAGAGGACCCGTTTTATTGGTAGGTCTTAGGCTCCAACCGCTACCTCCGGAGCCTGCTGTTTGCTGCTGGCCGCCGTGGCTCAGCTGCTGCAACAGCGTGTGTACTTCGCTGTCGGCTGGAGATTCTGCGAAGATTGTTGTGTTGCCCAACACGCAGTTGTTCAACGCTCCTTGGGCCTGAGAAGGAAAACGATTGTTCAGTTTGGAGCCGTCTAATTATCGTCGAGGAATTACTGGCGAAACCAACTGCGATGTCATAAATAACATTCCCCTCTTATCGTAAGACTTAATCATTTTTAAATGATTATATTAATGCACTATCAGGATGAAGTGAAACGCGTCGAGGAATTACTGGCGAAACCAACTGCGATGTCATAAATAACATTCCCCTCTTATTGTAAGACTTAATCATTTTTAAATGATTATATTGATGCACTATCAAGATGAAGTGAAACGCGTCGAAGAATTACTGGCGAAACCAACTGCGATGTCATAAATAACATTCCCCTCTTATTGTAATACTTAATCGTATTTAAACGATTATATTGATGCACTATTAAGATGAAGTGAAACACGTCGAGGAACTTGGTCGACGTCGGTAAAACAGGTTCTTCTAAATACCTACGTTGTCGATGTTCCTTTTTATATTGACAGTCGTGGCGAATTGTATTGGGTATTGTACTAATTGGCATACTCCATCTGTCGTTTTCGTACAATAATTATAAATAAATAGAAGAAAAACTCCAGAAATACCCTGGATTTATGGTTTCTGAGGCTCTAATTGACTGCAGAGGGACACCCGGCGCCATCTGTGATTTCCATTTTAATTAAATTATCAGTCCCAGACTTCGCGTTACCAGTGTTTTAACCTTGAAGCGCATAATACGCTTTTTTGCCTTTATCTCGTCTAAATGTGAGTTTATCGATTACCAGAGTATTCTAAATTGTCGTAAAATTATTCTGATCCTTTCGTTTCTCATGTCAAAGCCTTCGATAATTGTATATTGATCGAAATATGAGAACTCGACGCCATTTTGGTCCTGGTCTGGGCTAAGTTAAAAAATTTGTTTCAAAAATCCAAATTTTGAAAGGGTCAGGATAGCTCCTAGAAGCTCACGAGTCTTGTCTCAAAGTTTCAGACAGTTCTATCTAATACCGCAATTCGCATTTGGACGAGATAAAAGCAAAAAATGTGTATTATGCACTTCGAGGATAAAACAATGGTAACGCGAGGTTTCGGAATGAAAATTTAGATGACATGGAAATCACAGATGGCGCAGGGTGTCCCTCTGCAGTCGATTAGGGCCTCAGAAACCATGAATCCAGGGGATTTCTGGAGTTTTCCTTCAATTTATTTATAATTATTGTACGAAAACGGCAGGTGGAGTATGCCATTTAGTACAATACCCAATATAATTAGACACAGCTGTCAATATAAAAACAAACGTCAGCAACGTAGGTATTTAGAAAAACTTTTTTTACCGACGTCGATCGAGTTCCTTGACGTGTTTCACTTCATCTTAAGATTAGTCGTTTGTTTATCCTTGATATCTTCTTCTAGAAGTTCACGTTATTTTACCAGATTTTTTCTCCTAACCACTAATCTAAATTTCACTTAATAAAGCTGCACAAAAGTTGCAGGCACATGTCCTTTATTTGTATCAAGTCTTGATTAAGTTTCATTGGAATGCTGGGCAATATTAATTCTTAGTTAACAAATTGTAACTTTAAATCGACGCCTCTGTGTCGATTGTTTCAACATTCTAGAAATGTAGAACCGCACATTCCAAAATATGTTAACCGTCTTGAGTTATCCTGTCCATTTCATGAAGAAATAAAATACGATATTTAGTATTATTCTTTCACAAGCACAAAAGAGAGTAATATCTCACTATATTGCCGCCAGAGCCCCATACATTTTACTGCCTGGTCCAAGCATAGTGTAAAATATCTGTAATGAAATTTGTCACGCTCCACCTCTACTCATTTTATCAATAAGTGCATATAGCACTAGGTTTGTTCGCGTTGACTGCACTTTCTACACTCGAGGGTAACGAGGGTACTACACTTTTCTTGAAAAGTGCAGAAGGGTAGATACACTTTCGTTGACGTCCCGAACGCCAGAAAATTTAGTAGAGAGGTACGCGATTTTGAGGTTATCCGTATCGGACGATGACGAATACGAAAATGTAATGCTTCTTCCAGCCTTCCTTCTTGAGCCGTTTTCGTTTTCTTCAAATCCTACAATTCGTTTTATTACCTTGTAATTGTAGAAGAAATTCCTTTCACGAATTTCAGGTATTGAGGATCAATAAGGGTCAGAATATTATTGCAGTAGAATGAAAAATAATTTAACTACACAGTTAAAAAATTATAGTTTAGTTCATTCCAACCGCGGTTACGTAGTAATACATAATTATTGTGAATTTTTTCAAACATTATGTACAAAACTAAAACGCTAAATCGTTCTATACACGAAGAAGATGCATTACTAATAACTTCTATTTATATTACGTTAAGCTGTTAGCATAAATTTTATATTTTCCTGTTTCTTGGTCTTTTCAATTTTGAAATTTGCCGCCAAATTCCCGGGTTGCCCTTCTTGCCCTCGCGCGGGATCGAGGGTAGAAAGTGTAGAGAAAGTGTACACTCGGGGTAGATGCCCTCGGAAAACGAACAGCGACGTTGTGTCACTTCCGTCAAAACGAACGCCAAAATGTATACTTTTCGTAAAAGTGTAGAAAGTGTAGGCAAAACGAACAAACCTTTTTATAACATCTTACACTCACTCGGGATCGAGGGTAGAAAGTGTAGAGAAAGTGTACACTCGGGGTAGATGCCCTCGCAAAACGAACAGCGACGTTGCGTCATTTCCGTCAAAACGAACGCCAAAGTGTATACTTTTCGTAAAAGTGTAGGAAGTGTAGGCAAAACGAACAAACCTTTTTATAACATCTTACACTCACTCGGGATCAAGGGTAGAAAGTGTAGGGAAAGTGTACACTGGGTGTAGATGCTCTCGCAAACGAACAGCGACGTTGCGTCATTTCCGTCAAAACGAACGCCAAAGTGTATACTTTTCGTAAAAGTGTAGAAAGTGTAGGCAAAACGAACAAACCTTTTTATAACATCTTACACTCACTCGGGATCGAGGGTAGAAAGTGTAGAGAAAGTGTACACTCGGGGTAGATGCCCTCGCAAAACGAACAGCGACGTTGCGTCATTTCCGTCAAAACGAACGCCAAAGTGTACACTTTTCGTAAAAGTGTAGAAAGTGTAGGCAAAACGAACAAACCTACTATTATCTTCCTACATCATATCCGTCGCGTTTCACATTTTAAATAAAAGAAATTCAGTTAAAATGTTAAAAGAACCAACCTTGATGGCTTCGTCCCTGGAGGAGTACTTGGTGAGAGCGATCCCATGGTTCAAGTACAGCCGGAAGTCCTGAACGGGACCATGTTGCATACACAACGTCTTCAGAGTGGACCCATCGATTTGTGGCGTCAGGTTCTTTAACAGAAGCCAGGTGGACACCCAGCCGGAATTGCCTCCGGCGGATTGAAGACCCCACGAACTGGAGGAACGTCCTACGGTTCCTAATCCGGCCCATCCGTTGCTGGCATTAGCAGCGCCCTTGCTGCCCAATCCTGGAGGTGGTCCACGGGCTTTGCTCATAGGAGCACCCCAAAGTTCTGACGTCACCGCAGTTGGAGGAGGCGCCGAATCCCCCCAAGTGTTCTTCGAGCTATTGTTAAATAATTCACGTTTCATTCTACGCACTATTTTCCTATGCTAATTTTCGCATTTTTAATACAATTCTAAACTATTTAAGGATTTCAATTTGTACACCATAAATACGAGAAAGAATCTATTTTCAAGATCTCCGAGGAAGTCTATCATTTAATTAATTAACGTGATAATAACGATCCACTTTAACGAAAATTTTTGCATTTAATCCCTTGGAGGATGTGACTTTATTGAAAATGGAAGGTTTGTATTTATTGCGGTAAATGAAGCTTTCGGACGGAACAAATCCCCAGAAATAAGAAGTTTTATTGAAAGTACCCTTCAACCTAATCAATTACAACAAAAAATTCCTTGTTTGTATGAGCGTCTTAAAGGAGACAAACTTTTTATTGAGTTTAAATACTCTGACTAGTTTCTAATAAAACTCGTAGTTTTTTTATTGCTTTAAGTTATTTATAGGGCATTCGGTTAATTTTGAAAATGGTCCAAGTCAATTCACACTTTAAAAACAACATTTTCGTATGAAATTCACCCAAAATTTCATATTAAAAACAAATTTCCATTAATCAAGACTAATAAAATTCTAAATTAAAATGTTGCACAATATAAAAATATTTTTTAAATTATTCAAATGCAATCCATTAAACATCTCGAAACAAAAAATATATGACTTAGACCACTTTCATAATTATGGGCACATATGTTACCTTGTGAAGGCACTAGGGGTCGTGGCTGGTGGATTGAAACTCCAAGTAGAATTGCTGAGACTTGGAATAGAAGTGTCGACATTGGCGGTCTGCGGTGGTGGCGAAGTCTTGCTGCTGGATGAGAATATGGCATCCGGGTCCTTGATGGCAGCCAAAGAAAGAGGAGACCGCACTACCGAGCCGGGAGTGATGCTGGGATCATCTTCGATACTTTTCATCTGTGTACCCTAAAACGACATGAAATATAGGTGGACCCGGACCTTAATCGATCATTCTTTTTTTTCTATCAAACTTAGTGCCAACTAACAGGAAAGAATTCCAAATATGGAAACGGACAAAGTTGACAAATCGCGTAAGAATTCTGTTTCATGCGGTAAAATGCCATTCTGACATGTCATTTCGTAATATCCTACGATAAAACTGATTACTGCATTAAAGTTTCTATTAACAGAATTCCCTCTGTGAAGTTTAAGATGCAGGTACGTTTATTAGGGATGCATTTTATCCGTTGGTAGTCCTGATTAGCTATCATGAAGTTGATTTTGAGCTTTTAATTAATTTTCTTGCGAATGAGTATTACTACTCAAATTACTAACTTTAACCATTCTGAAATGATACTAGGTATCAGTAGGGGGAAATGAAACGCGCCGAACCTTCGCTTTGGAAGAAAACCGAAGAACACGGAATTGTTACTTGTAAAAATATTTGTTACATTGTTTTTAAACATAAATAAGAAATAATAGTTTCTGTACGCAAACCGTAGTTACGTTTCTCTGTACAGACATTCTTTCTATATTGGAACATTGAATAGGTTTTGTCATCAGTACAGGCGATAATTACAAATTTTACAAGGGACATTGCAGTTTTCTGTTTCTGAGTATATCACCCAATATACGACAAGGAACGTTACTATTTACGTTACCGAATCTATAACAACTGACAAGAGAAGGAATAGGACATTAACAATTTCCCAGGAAACATTTGAATATATGGAATATATTTAATTCCAGTTGATTAAGGGGTTACACCACTTTGACGCACCCAAAAATTACGGTTTTCTTCAAGAATTTTTTTTTAAGAGTTAAAACGTTTTTATCCTAATTAAAGTACAGTAAGGTATTATACTACTATTAAACTCGCTCACTGCGAAAATCGGTGATCGTGCGGTGGGCAGGTGTATAGGTGTAAACGCGTTTTTCTTAAAACTGCATTTTAAAAATCGGTGGGCACTCTAGTTCCGCCAATTTTCAATCACTCGTCTTGATTCTTTTTTTAATTTTATTCGTGATATGTTTATCTAGCGAAATACGTATAGTTTTTTCAATGTATTGATATTCGCGTTTTTTATGCAACATTAATTAACGAAATTTAGGACAAAATACGTATCTTTCCTTTCAAATCGATGCCATTTTGTGAAAAATGCATATTTTTGAAAACGGCTAGGTATTTCGCTAGCTTTTCGGCTACGGAAACTAATTCTTTTTCGTTTATTGTTCTAACTTAAACCTGGACTGAGTTATCGTGCCCACCGCACGATCATCGATTTTCGCAGCGCTCCGGTAAATCGCCTTTCAAGCCGCCATTTTTGTAAATAAAAAAACACAAAAAAAGCATTTTTTGTTTGTTTAATAGTAGTATAATAACTTACTGTACTTTAATTTGGATAAAAACGTTTTAATTCTTAAAAAGAAATTCGTGAAAAACCGTAATTATTGGGTGGGTCAAAGTGGTTGTAACCCCTTAAAGCCTTAAATAATTAGATATCGATCGAAATATCAGAGCTCGACGTTCTTCTGGTTCTGGTTCAGGCTAAGTTAAACAATTTTTTTGTCGAAACTCCAAATTTTGAAAATGCCAGGATAATTCTTAGGTGCTCACGAGTCATGCGTCAAAGTTTAAGACAGTTTGGTCCAATACCCTTAAAAATAAGTGTTCTATTAGAATCGACTGATTTGAGGGGGGGTTTCACTTCACTTTAACTCGCTGTAATATTCAAATTAGTGTACAGGCATTTTGGAGTCCAAAACGGTAAAATACATCTTCGCGGTACTACGTATCATCTCGGGGTCAAAGTGGTGTAACCCCTTAAAGCATACCAAAGGCCATTTAAAAATGAAAAAACAATACTATCGATACCACCAATAGAAAATGGAACTTAGCTGTTGGGAAATGAATCAAGTAAATTGACGGTATTGGGAATGGATTACCTTCCACGGTTTGCCCGGTTCGAATTCTGGGACCAGGTCTGTGAAGGCAGCGCCACCTGGCTGCCATTCCTTGCCATCGGTGGAATCGCTGTTGCCGGCATCGGGCCACCCGCTGTCCCCAAGCCTGGAAGACCACGTTCCGTCTCCTTGTCCCAAGAGTGGATTCAAATTGGGACTACTATGTGATTGAGTCAATCCTCCGGGTGCTGTTGGAGGTTTGCTCGTGGTCCCAGGAGCTCGGGAGAACTCGTTTGTCGCAATGTCGCTATCTTTGTCTAGGGACGGTAGTTTCCATTGATTCAATCTGGACTGCTGTTGACTCTGAAACATTTATCAAAATAAGAAATCTACTACTCAACATCCTGACGAAATAAACAATACCCGTTCAAATACTACTAATGCGTCTTCTACCCTAAACTGCTCTGTTGATAACCACGTTAAGTCGCTTTTGTACATATTATTATATGTACATAATTTACGGATTTGTTAACAGTTGTTTTAAGGTGATATAAATGACGCTTAGAAATTTAATCGACGTCGATTAAATAAAATTCATCTATACCCTTTTTCGTGATAACGCCATTTTGGATATTCATGTGGTAACCTAAGCTGGCGTGCCACGTTGTCGATATTTATATTTATATCGAAGTTTGTTACACTCTACGTTGAGAATTATATGAAGTAAAGCCGTCCATATGTCGTTTCAGTTGAATAATTATAAAGAAATCGACGTAAAACTCTATAAATCCTCTGAATTCGTGATTTTTTATGCCGTAATTGACTACAGTGTGCCACCCTGCGCCATCTGTGATTTTCGTTTCAACTACATTTTCATTACCATTCAGACCTCGTATTACTATCGTTTTAGTATAGCAGCGCATAAGACACTTTTTTTTTGCGTTTATCCCGTTCAAATGCGAGTTTCTCAATTACCAGAATGTTCTAAATTGTTGTACAATAGTCCTGTCACTTTCGTTCCTCATATTAAGGCCTTCAATAATTGTGTATCGATCGAAATATGAGAGCTCGAATGCAGGGAAATTATGTATCTCATTACTGGACATGATAGGTGAATACCCTTATACAATATGTTAATAAGCTTCCAGATAAATCATTACCACGGGTGGTTCCTTGTTAACGGCGAGATCGCTGAAGCTGTTCTGCAACGCGGACATCGGATCGTGAACGGAAGTCTTGTAATACTCTGACGCCTGCGAAGGAGCTGCCGGATGCTGTTGCTGCTGTTGTTGCTTCATGTAAGTCGCCTGCTGAGCTGCGATCTGATTTTGCAAGTTCGCTATCTGTTGCTTGGTTTTCGTTATTTGGACGCTAATCTGCAATACTGTCTGCCCATTGCCCTTTAGCGAGCTTTGCACGGAGTGCTGCTGATGTAACTGCTGGAGAACCTTGATTTGTTGCAACAATTGGTTCAGGAGGATCAAGGTTTGCGGCGCCAGCGGCTGATTCAAGATCTGGTGATTCAAATAACCCTCTTGAACGGCCAGCTGGATCTGCTGAACCAACATTCGCAGTTGCTGGGTGCTGGGTTGATTTTGCGGCGTGCGAGATGCCTGAGGGCAGATATCAAATTGATTTGTCAGAAAAACACTTTTCATTGCTTTCGTAATCAACGAATCTTTTATGGCTGGTTCCCACATAACATACCCGGAACTTTACAATGACGACGGAAATTATTCACTACTTTTTCATCTTGTATAAATATATTACCAAATGTTTATGAGTATCATCAAATCGATTCTTATGTAAAAAGAATCGGTTTTGGTGTAATATAATAATTTGTATTTTTAATAACTAATAAGAAAGTCAAGCATTTTGTATTGTACAGCTGAAATGGAGCTTTCCAATTTGTTTAGACAGGACTAATAATGAAATCCGATTGTCCATGTGAATTATAATAAAATGCGATTCAGAGAAATCTCTAAATAGATTTCTTTTTAAATAAAGAAAAATAATCGCATAATCTAATTGATAAGATATATTTCTATAATCCTGTTGTATGGTTCTATTATCACTGTAAGAGAAACGGGCTACAAACAATGCAAAGCAAACTTCAAACAAATAGAATCCTCAAAAGTATTAAACAAAAAAAATCGGGGCCATCCAAAGCTTAAAAAACCAATGTCATAAGTACATAATACAACAAAACAAAGCAGCGTTCATACATTCTAGTCAACGGAAGGGAAGAACTCTTAATTCCTGGAAATTAAAAATGCTTTTTTAGCATCAAAAGTGGGATCACTTAATTATACGATATTCTGTACGCTGGGAGACATCAATGCCCTCCCATTCTGCACAGGCGATGTCGTATCTGCAGGGGAGGCATTCATGTTCGACAGTGTACGTACACCTACAAATTTAGATCAGTCTGTTTGTTTGTATCATGTTACCGTTTTTAAGTAGGATCATAGGGACGATACGACACAGTAAGCACTAATACCGATGAACCTGAACGGAATTATTTCGTTTAAATCTAGTTGCACCTAATAATTGATACTTCTTCATCCGCAATAAAAAACATAATTAAGGAGATTAATGAAAAAGCAACACTATTATACAATTATTAGAACGCAATATTTGTTTAATTATATTAAATGCATAATTTCACTGGCTGCGACAATGTTCATTTGTGCAATGAGTCCTTAAAGGAAAAAAAAAAAATGTATACTGAGAAAATAATTCAGAGCGTGCAGAACTTGTGTAATTTCTTTTCAACATATTAAATGTACTTTTTCTTTATGAAGGTCTTGCTATATGAACAATATTTCATTTAGGTAGAAAGACGCTTATTTATATATGCTATTCTAAATACCGGCCCAATTCATTAATATTATTTAGGGATTCATTTAACCATGGGGATAAGTAAAATCAGCCTTATGCATGAAAAACTTCTCCAAATCGTTTTTTTTTTTTTTTTGTATAGAATCTTTCAGGTTATACAATCATCATAGAAAAGGACGCGAAGGATTTTCAATCTACTGTTGAATACTATTTCTTAGCATTTATCGAAACATTTATTTAGCAAAAGTTTTGAAAAGGTGAACAATTCTCAACTGCGTTTAGTTTAAAATGAGTAAACAAGAGAAAAAAATATTAGACACAGATGATGTTTTCATATAGAATTTAGTAAACAAGCCAGTATTAATCCATGCCTGTGCATGGTTTTACTTAAAATAACTGAAGTGTAACCATTTTCTTCAGAAAGATATATCGAAGTATAATCTATTTAATATCTTTCGTCAACGAAATATTTTGTTACGCACATCCTCTTCTTACCCATAAGTTGAAGATCGGTGGAATCTTATAAGCTTTCAGTTTAAATCATTATTTTTCGGGTAAACATCGGCAAGAAATTATTTCAGACTTACTCTGCATTAACTCTATACGGGATTTCATTTTCTTGCGTAGATGTTCATTCCAATTAAAGTAATCTCCGCACAAGGTAGTTAGCAGGGCAAAAACGAGTGAACAATATTTACCCGATATGTCTTAAACACGATTTTAAAAAGACGCAGGTTTATCCTTGAAATCATTCGTTCGGCTTTACAGGATGGAGAAATTCTATATTTACTCTCATAAATCTCTAGAGTTTTAAGGCGAAGTAAAACACGTCGAGGGACTTGATCGACGCCGATAAAGAAGATTTTTCTATATTTGTTGGTTTTTATATTGACAGCTGTGTCGAATTATATTCGGTATTGTACCAAATGGCATACTCCACCTGTCGTTTTCGTACAATAAATATCAAGAAATCGAAGTAAAACTCCAGAAATCCTCTGGATTCATGCTTTTTGGGGCTCTAATTGAATGTAGAGGGACACCGTGCGCCATCTGTGATTTCCAGGTCAATTCAATTTTCACTCCGAGACCTCGTATTTCCATCGTTTTAGCATAGAAGCGCATACCTCACTTTTTTGCGTTTATCCCGTTCAAATGCAAGTTTATGGATTACTAGAGTGTTCTAAATTGTCGTAAAATTATCCTGATCCTTTCGGTTCTCATATCAGAGCCTTCGATAATTGTATATCTGTTACAGTGAAACACCGAAATCTGAAGAATGTCGACTTTCACCAGTGAATGTCAACATTCACATAGTCGCATCGTGTATGTCCGAAATATTTGCTAAATACCCTTATTTCTGACTTACACCGGTAAATGTTGACATTCACCGGTGTGTGATGTTGACACACACTGGAGAGGGTCGGAATGTACAACAATGTAATGAAATATTCGATCTTTCACCGACGTATTTGGTATCTGTTGACATTCACCGGTGAAAGTCGACATTCTCCCATTTCGGTCATTCACGGTAACATATTGATCGAAATATGAGAGCTCGACGCCATTTTGGTTCTGGTCTGGGCTGAGTTAAAAAGTTTTTTTAAAAAATCCAAATTTTGAATGTGTCAGGACAATTCTTAGATGATCAGAAGTGATGCGTCAAAGTTTCGGACAATTTGGTCTAATACCCTTAAAAAAAAAAGTGTTGTATTCGAATAACACCATCGTATAACACCATCCTCTCGCCGTGTCCGATATTTCGCATCCAATAGTGCTGGTGTGCAAATGATCCGTATTCAATTCCGATTCACTCTAAATGTCCCCACAAAAATATTACACCAAGCATATTGATTGCAGCTTATAACGGCGTATTTAATATTTTAAATACGCCACTGATCTATATATTGACTGGATAGTTGGTACCAATTTTCTCTATATTGAGAGATTTACGACGCAGAGGCACAACAGCGTCACTGAATAAAATCAGACATGCGCAGTAACACATTAGTAACTTTGTGAATAAGTTACTGCGCAAGTCTGATTTTGTTTAGTGACGCTGTTGTGCCTCTGCGTCGTAAATCTCTCAATATACAGCAAATCGGTACCAACTATCCAGTTAGTATATATTTTAAACACGCCACTGATTTATATACTAACTGAATAATTGGTACCGATTTGCTCTATATTGAGAGATTTACGACGCAGAGGCACAACAGCGTCGCTGAACAAAATTAGACTTGCGCAGTAACACACTTATTTACAAAGTCACTGCTGTGTTACTGCGCAAGTCTGATTTTGTGTAGTGACGCTGTTATGCCTCTGGGTCGTAAATCCCTCGGTATACAGCAAATCGGTACCAACTATCCAGTTACTATATATTTTAAACACGCCACTGATCTATATACTACCTGGATAGTTGGTACCAATTTTCTCTATATTGAGAGATTTACGACGCAGAAGCACAACGGCGTCACTGAATAAAATCAGACATACGCAGTAACACAGCAGTAACTTATTCACAAAGTTACTGCTGTGTTACTGTGCAAGTCTGATTTTGTTTAGTAACGTTGTTGTGCCTCTGCGTCGTAAATCTCTCAATATACAGCAAATCGATACCAACTATCCAGTTAGTATATATTTTAAACACGCCACTGATCTATATATTAACTGAATAGTTGGTATCGATTTGCTTTATACCGAGAGATTTAGGACACAAAGGTACATCGGCGTCACTGAATAAAATCAGACTTGCGCAGTAACACAGCAGTAACTTTGTGAATAATTCCCATTCGCTCTTGGTTTAAAATACTTCTACCATACGTACTTTTCAAAGGAAAATATAAAAAAAAAAATTCGGTTTTAAATACGCTACTGATCTATATACTAACTGGATAGTTGGTACCAATTTGCTCAATACCGAGAGATTTACGACACAAAGGTACATCGGCGTCACCGAATAAAATCAGACTTGCGCAGTAACACAGCAGTAACATTGTGAATAATTCCCATTCGCTTTTGGTTTAAAATACTTTTACCAAACGTGCTTTAAAAAAAATATACACATATATAGATATAAAAATAAAATTCTGTTTTTACAATCCAAGGAACGACCCTTTAATAACTTATGTCTAACTATGTCGATGTTCAACTAATCTGTATCGGTTAGTATTCGCTCTCGGCGAGTAAACGCACGAATAAAATTCCAAAAGTTTCAATAAAAGAACTCGATCCATTCTGTCTTTTAAAATTCAAATGTATATGAATTCATACGTCACAGTCTTCGCTGTGGTTACAACTATATAAGGTTGTAAAACAAACATGCATACATTAAGAAATTAACGAAAATGTGGAACAATGCCAACTAATACAGAGGCTGTTGTTATTATTATTAAAGTGAAGTGAAACACGTCGAGGAACTTGATCGACGTCGATAAAGAAGATTTTTCTAAATGCCTACGTTGCCGACGTTCGTTTTTATATTGACCGCTGTGTCGAATTATATTGGATATTGTACCAAATGGCATACTCCACCTGTCGTTCTCGTACAATAAATATCAAGAAATCGAAGTAAAACTCCAGAAATCCTCTGAATTCATGCTTTCTGGGGCCCTAATTGACTGTGGAGGGACACCCTGCGCCATCTGTGATTTCCAGGTCAATTAAATTTTCACTCCGAGACCTCGTATTCCCATCGTTTTAGCACAGAAGCGCATACAACACTTCTTTTGCCTTTATCCCGTTCAAATGGAGTTTATCGACTACCAGAGTGTTCTAAATTGTAAAATTGTCCTGACCCTTTCATTTCTCATATCAGAGCCTTCGATAATTGTATATTGATCGAAATACGAGAGCTCGACGCCATATTCGTTCTGGTCTCGGCTAAGTTAAATAATTTTTTCCAAAAACCCAAATTTTGAACCTGTCAGGACAATTCTTAGATGATCAGGAGTGACGTGTCAAAGTTTCGGACAGTTTGGTCTAATACCCTTAAAAAAAAGTATTGTATTCGAATCGACTGATTTGAAGGGGGTTTCACTTCACCTTAACGGGCCAGGAACAGAAATTTGCCAACTGAACGATCAAGAAAAATATAAAACGAGAAGACTAGAAATTCCGAAACGAAACCCTGTAAATCCAATCATCCGAGAAGACTAAACACCGATACCACTGAAATAGTTGCTATATATTCCGAGCCGAGAGAAGTGGACACTATATGGTCAACCCCGTGATCGCGTATATACCATCAAGTGTTAATAAGAGCTCTACCTTGAAATCCAGACTTTCAGATACAAAACAAAACAGTGTCGAGAGCAATTATCGAGTACTCCATAGTCATGACACATGACGTGTTTTTCCCAAGTCCCTCGTCAGCTCTGATCCTACCCCGCGATTAATCCTATTCCTGCATTTTAAAATCGGCGAGACTAATGATATTCATTGTCCTATATTATGAACCATTGTTTCATCTTCACCTGAAAAAGCTGAATATCGTACAACGTAGGTAATTTTAAAGCTCTTTTCGAGAAGTACATGAAGCATTCGATAAAAAATCTAGGCGGGAAGCAATGTCTATAATTGTCTACATTGATTACTTAAGGTGATATGAAAGGATCATTATATACATACATATACATATGTTACAGTGAAACACCGAAATCTGGAGAATGTCGATTTTCACCGGTGAATGTCAACATTCACATAGTCGCTTCGTGTATGTCCGAAATATTTGCTAAATACCCTTATTTCTGACTTACACCGGTAAATGTTGACATTCACCGGTGTGTGATTGTCGACACACACTGGAGAGAGTCCGAATGTACAACAATGTAATGAAATATTCGATCTTTCAGCGACGTATTTGGTATCTGTTGACATTCACCGGTGAAAGTCGACATTCTCCAATTTCGGTCATTCACGGTGACATATACATATATTACATATATATAACGTGAAAATATTTATGAAACTTTTCTCAAAATTGAGTGCACCGAATCATTTGAAACTTCAGCACGTGATTGGGAAGGCCCTAAGAAAGAACGCAATGCTCGTTAAATTTCATTTTTCACAAAATAAAGTTTTCTTTCTTTTATTTAGCTTACACTAGAACCAAGATCACATTTTTTTGTGAAAATTGAAATTTCACGAACATCGTGTTCTTCCTTAGGGCCTCCATTATCACGTGGTGGAGTTTCAAATGATTCGGTGCACCCAGTTTAGAGGAAAGTATTGTAAATATTTTCACGTTCTATATATATACACAAATATACAATATATATACAAACATNCTAAGGTTGGTCCTAAAACTCGCGAAATTTCATTCTGTACTTTAATTAGGATAAAAACGTTTTAACTCTTAAAAAAAAATTCTTGAAGAAAACCGTAATTTTTGGGTGCGTCAAAGTGGGGTAACCCCTTAAGGAAATCAGTTTCGTTCATGGAACGAACACTGCGCTTGAACAAAAGAATGAAATTGGCGAGAACAGACAGCGTGACGGTACTAAATAATAATTTGTCGATTTCAGGCAGTTCACCTGGTTAAATGGAGGTTGAGGCGCATTGGTAGTGGGCTGTTGCTGCTGCAGCTGCACAGCGGCTTGCTGTTGTTGCTGTTGCTGGAGCTTGAGGAGGCTGGCGCTGGCAACGGAACCACTAACGCCACCAGTGGCCGCCCCGCTGGGCACTCCCGCGCCCTGCATTCAATATCAAACCCTGTATCCCGAGCCCTTCCTAACGTCTCCTTGTTTATCGTCATCTTAGAACTAAGGTGCTTAACACTAGGTTTACGGGACCCGTCAATTTGACGGAATTCAAACTTCGAAAAGAAATACCGAAAAAACCGTAGCATTAATTTTAACCATTTTTGTATCGTAAATTAATCATTTCATCCAAAGAATTTGTACACGCAATTATTTTTTCCTAAGCCTTCTAATTATTAAAATCTGTATGTGGTATACCTATCTCTACGAAACCCGTCAAATTGACGGACTAGCTAATTTCATAAACAATCCATATATATTTGCTTCGTTGCAGAGAGGGTAAGGCGAAGATGAGAGTGAAAGTTTGCATTGAAAGTGGAAAGATGGAAGGATCTTCGGATAGTGAAGAGGAAAACTTCTTGAAAGGGTGTCGTAGCAAGAAAAGGATGCGCATTCTTTCTAGTTCTGACTCCGAGGATGAGAGGACGAGCATTCCAATCATTTCCGTGGTAATTTTTAAAAAAGGACTTTTCACTTATTAATCATTCATTTAAACGTAAAGCCTAGGGTTGTTTAATTCAGACTTAATTTGAATAAAACGATTTTTTAAAGAAAATGCGGGTTTTCGTTTACCCGTCAATTTGACGGATGCTCGTAGAAACAGGTATATATAAAACGCCCGTAAACCTAGTGTTAAGGCGATGTGAAAGTGACGCCGAAGAGGTTTTGTTTATAAAACTTCTCTCCCAATTCGGTCTACCGAATAGTTTGAAACGTTACAACGTGAATAGGGAAACTATAAGGAAGGTCCTGGAACTCATGAAATTTACATTCTTTTCTAATTTATAGGTATTTTAAAAATAGATTATAAAAAATGAAATTTCCCGAGTTTCAGGACCTATCTTAGGGTCTCCATATTCACGTTTTAAAGTATGAAACGAGTTGAGACACCCAGTTCTATGACAAGTTTTATGAACGATTGAGCTTTCGGCTGCCACTTTCACATCCCCTTAAGGTGATATGAAAGGGTCGCTCTATACATATAAAGCGTCAATATGTTTATCAAACTTGTCTCCAAACTGGGTGCACAGAATCGTTGGAAACTTGAACATGTGATAAGGAGGCCCTAAGGAAGAACGCGATGCTCGCAAAATTTCATTTTTCAAACAAAAATATATGTCCTTGGTATTAGTCTGGGATGTATTGAACATTTTTCTTCGAGAAATGAAATTTCATGAGTGTCGCGTTTATTCTTAAGGTCCCTGAAATCTCGTGCTGAAGTTTCAAAATATTAGGTGCGCCCTGTTTGGAGAAAAGTCTTATAAACATTTTCAAGTTTTGATATATGCATATGGCGCTTTCATATCACCTTAAAGGTGCAAGGCCATTTGCAAGTAACTTGCTAGAGATGCTCTCAGACATTTATTGCCGATAATGTTTACGATTCTGAAAGCGAAATTGCACGAGTGCTTGCGCTGTATAACGGTTTGCAGGTTTGTATACCGATAGACAAAATGTTTTCCCTGCAGATATGAAATCACCAATGTTTGATCAGGAGGCATTGATGTCTCCCAATATACCAGAAACTCCTATAGATGTTTGCATTCGAAGGTTAAAATTGCGCAAAACGATTTCTTGCTACAAGCTTCGAATATCCGGATTCGTGATTCATAGGACGGAAGAAAAGAAATCGGAGCACGAAGACAGCCATCTTCTGATATTTTCATCATGTCGACGATGAAATTCTCAACAATTCCGGGTTTTCCATTTTTAATTCCCACATAAGTGTTTCGTGAGCGCCTAAACTACTTCTGCCCTCAAGTCTTTTTGTAATCCGCACTTTTCTTGTTTTACTCCCAACCTTTGTTTTCTTTTTTTTTTTTAAATACAATTATAGCAGCACTAAGTGCAGCAATTACCGTTTCGTTACACGAGATTTTTATCATTAAATATCTAAAGCCCAAATAAAATTGCATAACTTTGTGGCCAGAGTATAAGTGCTAAACCGAATTACTCCCACGAGTCATCTTACAAGTACTTGCTAAAGAGGCTTGCGGCAGAACATTTTGTGACAAATTTATCGTTGCTATAAATGCAACAGTACATTGCTCTAGCATGAAATGGCACAAGTTTTTTACAAATGGACCCGCACCTTTAAATCAACGGTTAATCACAGATTTCTGTACTTCATATTCCATCGCTAACTTTTCTATTCTTTAACAACCAGTGATGTTTTGCGCAGTTAAGGGGATGTGAAAGTGGCATCCGAAAGCTCAATCGTTCATAAAACTTTTCTACGACCTGGGTGTCTCAAATCGTTTCATACTTTAAAACGTGAATATGCAGACCCTAAGGTTGGTCCTAAAACTCGCGAAATTTCATTTTTTATAAACTATCTTTAAAATACCTATAAACAAATTTGAGAAGAATTGAAATTTCATGAGTTTCAGGACCTTCCTTATAGTCTCCCTATTCACGTTGTAAAGTGTGAAACTATTCGGTAAATCGAGTTGGGAGAAAAGTTTTATAAACAAAATCCCTTCGATGCCACTTTTCCATCACCTTAACCTCTAGAGTCTTGTATGAATTCGGACGTGACCAAAAGTTCATTTTTTTAAGGGGATGTGAAAGTGGCATCCGAAAACTTAATCGTTCATGAAACTTTCCTATGAACTGGGTGTACCGAATCGTTTTAAACTTCCCATCGTGAATATAGAGACCATAAAAAAGGTCTTAACACTCATGAAATTTCATTTCTTATAAAATATGTTAAGAAAACTTATCAATAAATTTTATAAAAATATAAATTTCATGGGTGTCGGGACCTTCTTTATCGCCTTCATATTCACATTGGCAAGTTTGAAACGATTCGGAACACCCTCTTCGGAGAAAAGTCATAAACGAGACCTTTTTGACGCCACTTTCACATCACCATAAAGAAAATATGGGATTACGTTCACTATAATATCAATCATGAAATGGAACAAGTTTCTTACAAATGGACCCGCACCTTTAAATCAACGGTTAATCACAGATTTCTGTACTTCATATTTCATCGCTAACTTTTCTATTCTTTAACAACCAGTGATGTTTTGCGCAGTTAACCTCTAGAGTCTTGTATGAATTCGGACGTGACCAACGAAGAATCATCCCTGCTTTCCACATCCACATTGTTATTAGTTTCACTCGTCTTGATTATAACGGTATAATATTTAGTTCTTTAAAAACAATCAGGGAGTAATGTTGAAAAGACCAAAAAATATGTAGTCCGTGTAATATTGGTGAAGTATACAGTAACATTCAGCGTGAGAGATCACCGTTATACTAACTACCGTCTGCATTGCGCTTCTTTCTATCTGTTTGCTGATGCGATTTTATTACTCATATTGTTGAAAGGGGGAAAGCATCTTCGGCTGTTTAAAAAAAAAAGCGTCGATGTACGGCCGCAACAGATAATCCAATAATACTATACTGCCAGGTATTCGTCTACGATTTACATTAGAGTATGGAGTTAATCAAAATGGCTTCTGAAATAAATTACTTATTATTCAATGCCCAAAAAAATTTTGCCGTTTAATGGTGTTAATCTCTATTAATCAGGAAAGATATTATAAATATAAAAAGTTATGACTATACCAAGTGCTTTGACACCTAAATTTAAGATTTTTCAAAAAGTGGAGTTAGTCGATGTGTGCATTGAGCGGCTCATATAGGTTCACTGATATACGCCACCTCATACCGATTTTTTAACTTGTTATATTCATTATATACAAACTGAATAAAACACCTATTACACGCGAAAGCAATACCATATTGTTATTTAATAGTGCTTTTTTTTTTAATACAACACGAAAATTGAGACAAATACCACATCGAATTATTGGTGGCACCGAAAACTCGAAACAGTTTAATCAAACATGTTTATATCACTAGAAAATTGTTCCTTCAAACCAACAAAAAACTAACTAGTTTATGGAGCAAACGTATTAATCCAGTGATAGTTAAACAATGTGACAAGAATTGAATACAAAATCAATGCTTTTGTGTATAGTGATGAACCAGATTTATGGTTCTTAATTTAGGTGCATAATGGTTACTTGCAGAATACGAGTAAAATATTCACAAATAACATTCATTTTATAGAATTCCTAAGAATGTGCTTGATCCAATTGAAATAATAGTTTATTCCCGTTGGCCAACAGTTTAAATCATTTGTATATAACTGTTTATTTACTATTTTTATACTTTTCACTAAATACGTATAATGAAAACTAAGTACGATTACGAAATAATAATGTTAAGATTGTATAGATATTGGCATTTGTTTAGATCTCAAAATATGTTTAATCAATGTGAATTGTTTAACTGAATCCATTTTAACGATACATACAATGCAACTTTATCGTTTGAAGTAAGTTTTACTTTAAACGACTGCACACAGAATCTGCAAGAAACTTTTTAACTTCACTTCACAAATTTGTGAAATACCTTCCTGCGCATTATCTACGACAACAATAAACACATTTCGATGTATTCTTTGTGCAGATTTCAATTCATCAATGTAAAATAATTATATCGTTACACAAATCTAATTATTTCCCACCGTTCCTATACTGCGGATATGTCAAAGGAACTAAACAAAATTACTGTTTCCATATTTCAAATGATCCCGATTTAAACAATCAGATATTGGACAAACGTTAACGAAATTTGTGGCAGCTATATTTCACTGAAAGCACTCCAATGCAGAACGCGCGTTGTTTACCCTATTGTACGGGAACAATGTATTTTATACGATAATTTCCTTCAATAAAGGATGCAGTATTCACAAAATATCCACACAGTTTCATAGATAAAAAAAAAAAAGATGCAAAATCACGGGAAGAATTTACAATTTATTAAAGATAATCACAGGGTTAATGGTTTGATTCGTGCAATGCAGAAAGTTCAGACATTTCTTCAATCCATGCGCAGACATTTCTGACAACACAGGAAAAGATATTTCATCTATAGTAGCTTTGTAACCCAAAACAATAAGCTACAGACAGTTAATTTGTCTGAACTTTGATTGGGACTAATATGTATTAATAACGGCATTTCTTGTTGTCGTTAGCAAATGCAATTCTTTACAAAATCTAATTTCTCAGGCTCGGATCACCTTCATAATAATGTTTATGATGATATTCTCAAGGATTTAATTATTTCTAATTGATTACTGCAATTTGATGTCGCAATAAGTAAAGGAAATCCAAACTTACCGGTGGGAAGGACATTTGTTGGGCGACGTGATTAAATCTTGGATATGCTGGTGCACTTGAGGCCTGATTTGTTGGGTCGTATCCGCCATGAGCATCATGGCGACGCCAATGATCCAGGGGACGCAGTTGACTCAAGAGTTCCTGAGCTTCGTCTCTGTTCATTTCACGACTCCTCAAGGCCGCTTCCACATCCTCCTTCTAAGAAGGGTGAAAGAAATGATTAATTTCAATTTAGCTCATTCGATTTAAACACCTACCCTACCCTATCTAAAGTAACTTATAATCCTGAAGCATTAAGGTGAGGTGAAACACGTCGAGGAAGTTGATCGACGTCGATAAAGATGATTTTTCTAAATACCTACGTTGCCGACATTCGTTTTTATATTGACAGCTGTATCGAATTATATTGGGTATTGTACTAAATGGCATACTCCACTTGTCGTTTTCATACAATAATTATAAAGAAATCGAAGTAAAACTCCAAAGATCCTCTGGATTTATGGTTTCTGAGGACCTAATTGACTGTAGGGGGACACCTTGCGCCATCTGTGATTTCCGCGTCAATTAAATGTTTACTCCAAGGCTTCGTATTACCATCGTTTTAGTATAGCAGCGCGTAAGACACTTTTTTGTGCCTTTATTCCGTTCACATGCGAGTTTCTCGATGACCAGGGTGTTCTAAATTGTCGTACAATTGTCCTGACCCTTTATTATTCTCATATCAAAGCCTTTGATAACTGTATACAGATCGAAATATGAGAGCTCAACGCCATTCTCGTTCTGGTCTGGGCTTAGTTAAAAAATTTTGTTAATAAATCCAAATTTTCAACGTGTCAGGACAATTCTTAGATGATTACGAGTCATGCGTCAAAGTTTCGGACAGTTCGGTCCAATACCCTTAAAAAAAATGGCTTGTATTCGAATCGACTGATTTGAAGGGGGTTTCACTTCACCTTAAGTTACTATAATTTAACGAATTCGTTTTTATATTGACAGCTGTATCGAATAATAATGGGTATTGCACTAAATGGCATACTCCACTTGTCGTTTTCATACAATAATTATAAAGAAATCGAAGTAAAACTCCAGAGATCCTCTGGATTCGTGGTTTCTGAGGACCTAATTGACTGCAGGGGGACACCCTGCGCCATCTATGATTTCCAGGTCAACTAAATTTTCACTTCGAGATCTCGTATTCCCTTCGTTTTAGCATAGAAGCGCATACAACACTTTTTTTGTCTTTATCCCGTTCAAATGCGAGTTTCTCGATTACCAGGGTGTTCTAAATTGTCGTACAATTGTCCTGACCCTTTATTATTCTCATATCAGAGCCTTCGATAATTGTATACAGATCGAAATATGAGAGCTCAACGTCATTCTGGTTCTGGTCTGGGCTTAGTTAAAAAAGTTTTGTTAAAAAATCCAAATTTTGAACGTGTCAGGATAATTCTTAGATGATTACGAGTCATGCGTCAAAGTTTCGAACAGTTCGGTCCAATACCCTTAAAAAGAAGTGTTGTATTCGAATCGACTGATTTGAAGGAGGTTTCACTTCACCTTAAGTTACTATAATTAAACGAAACTATTAACGTACTTTGTAGCCCAGCTCGCAAAGGTATCTGAACTCGCGACTGTTCCAGATAACTTCCTTCGTGAGTACCGGCTTAGCGGGATGAGCCCAGCTAGGTGGAGGATCTACGTCGTCAACCCAGCTTCCAGTTGGACCCATCGGTTTTGGTTTATGTGCAGACGGTCCTCCCCAACTAGCAGGATTGAGTTGCGGCTCGTTCCAAGCTGCAGGTGTCTTCGGATCGTCCCAGCCGACCGTGTCGTGAGGAGCATCCGTCCAGGAGCCATTGCGGCCACCAGGACCACCGGGATGACTCCACATTGGTCCACCCACGTCCGGTTTCATTCCGGGCTGACCTGGCATTCGATTTTGCGGCATTCCAGGAGGACACTGCATTCCTGTTTGAATAATTAACATACCATTATTTACAACACGTTACTGCTCCGCCAATGTGAATATGACGTTAAAAAGATCTTGCTTCCATGGTACACATGATACTTTATGTAACAAAGGTATGGGTAGCGTGCCTTTTTTCGCAAACGCAGAGGACGAATATGGGCACTTTTTCCTTCTAGGTCATTTTTAGGCATTTTTCTCTAGTGTCCCCATCTTCCCCCTTTTATTTACGTTCACCATAGCACAAAAAAATGCCGAACAAATAATGACGTACAAACCATGCTTGCCTTATATAAACATGGTTCTTACTCAATCTCGATATCATCAACTAATGGTATTGCAATCGCGTTAAGAATAGGTTGATAATGGGAATTCCACAGTCTGAATAAATAATATCATGAACATTTGGCACAATCTAATATAACATTTTCTTTAACTTTTACAGCATTGCCATCATTTTTCATCGGTCATCCTCTGAGTTTACTGGAAAGTGTATACTAAGGGTAAATTTTCCAGGTACTTTAAGATTTGACGTTTAATCTTAATCCTTTGCACTCGAGGCCTTTTTCGCCTGGATGAAACAGCAACTCGAGACGATTTTCTGCATACTTGATGAATTTCATACAGCTAATTTAAAATTATTTCACATACAAATCAATGTATAAAACTATTATATTTTAATATTTTATGTATCCCTACATGTGAAAGAAGAAAATTTCTTAAATATTAAGGACTGTATTGTTGCTTTATATGGTATTTTATAAAACAATCGCCAAGATGCATCCTCGGCTTGTCGGGGCAATTATTGCAGTAATATGTTGTTTGATGTCTTTCGCCAAGCCTAATTCGTTGAGAGCAAATCTTACAATCCTTCTTAACTTCTGTTAGAATGACATATAGCTTTCCATTCGATGGAATTTCGTCGAAACTAGAGGTCGAAATAGAAACTCGATCACGAGTCTGGAGTGCTTTTTTTTTTAGACGTGGCAAATCCTTATTTGCTAGGATCGTCCCAGTTAAATGGTAAGGGGTATCATTCCACCCTTCGCCAAATTGTACAAACATATATATGCCTTGTTGCTAATCGAGTTTCCGCATCAAACGAAATGGTGATCGAGAGTCACCTCTCGAGTTGCCGCATCGGACCAAGTGGTGACTGATAAGGGAACATTTCCGAGTGTCCGCCTCCGATCTTATTGAGTTTCATATATGTTGAAGAACACAAAAATCTAAGAGACACGTATTTTTTTATATCTGCAAAGGTCCACAATTAAGGGGCGGGGGATATCGCTGACTCTATTTTTTCGTAAAAACAGTGAAAATCCAATTTTATCGTTTCACCACGGAGATTGTATTACTAGTTGGAAACGGGTGATGACTGCATCGTCTAATCCGTTGCGAAACAATTTAAGCCTCTGAAGCTATTTTTTAATTTATTTATAAATAATTGCATATTATGAAAATCAATGACATTTTGAAGAATTACCACGTTGACACGACTTATGTACGATGAATTGGTCACGATATAACCCAATAAAGGTAGTCGGGATATACCCTAATACCACCTACATTCATTGTTTACAACCGATGTGTAAATGTTTATTGGCAAAAAGCAAAAAACACGTATTTCTTCATTTTTCGCGAGCAATCACATCGCGTAAGTGGAACTCAAGTAGGAGTGCTTGTTTAATGGATATTACAAAAAAATGTCACCTGAAGGGTAGTTAACATTGCTGAACAATATTGTGTTGTCACCGTCCTTATACAGAATACGTTTATGCAAAGTTTCGTCGAAATCCCTCCACTGCTTCTACGAAAAAAATTAAAAAAACCGATTTTTCGCTAAACTTTGGGAGGTTGTTTCACCCTTTAATTGTGACCATTGCAGATATAAAAAAAACACGTGTCTCTTAGATTTTTGTGTTCTTCAACATATATGAAACTCAATAAGATCGGAGGCGGACACTTGGGAATGTTCCCTTGTGAGAGTCACCTCTCGAGTGCAAAGGGTTAAAATTCTGATTATATGAATAATTATATTTTCTGATTAATCATTCACTGTGTAATACCACCTCTGAATCCATACATAGCCTTGGAGTTTTAGGATTTACCTTGAAATGTGAAACTCCTTTTCTATTACAAAACGGAAGCAAATGTATCATGTCTACCGTTCTATTTTTTATTATACAGGAAAATATGGAGGCCCAGTTCGAGAAAATGATCCTCGAGATTGGAGTTACTTACCACCGCGACCCAGATTGGACGTTGGTAGATCTTTCCAATGCGAGACCTTTGTGCTTGGAATCGCCCGCGGATTGGCTGCCGGATTGGCCCAAAGACTAGTCCCATCGTCATAGTTAGGTACGTTCCTTCTCTGAGTAGGTGGGGAAGGTTCCTCCCATCCTGATGGTTTACCGGGCATCATGTCTTTAGGTGGAGGAGCGGCCCACTGGTTCATGCTCGACTGATTGAGCATCTTTGCAGGCGGCCCAGAGGGATGCTGATGGCCCATCTGATGATGAGGAGGACCCGGAGGCTGGCCCCACATGGCGTCCGCACTTGCCCCATTTAGACGTCCAGAAATTCCCCTCGGATCGCCACGCATGTCCGCCATTCTTGGATCTCGACCCATTGGATCCATAACACGCATGTGGTCCCTAGGATCTAGGGACATGCGATGGTCGCGGGGGTCGCGCATCTCCCTAGGGTCTACCGATCTTAAATCCCTGGGGTCTCTAGGGTCCATCCGGGGGTCACCCCAATTGGATCCTGCATTAAAGAACAAGTCAAAACGATTACTTTGCATCGACACGGTACCAAGTGCCATTTTGCTCGGGAACACAATGGTTATCGCACCTAATCTCCTGACATCTTTTCAGGATACCATGAAATGTATTCGAAATATTTTATATTAATCAGATATTCTTGAACGACTGAAAAAAAAATTAGCATTAATAAACTACAACCAATTCAAAGCAATAGTAATAAATGGAACAAATAAGTTACACACATTGTACATGAAACAAGTATCACATAACTTTAGAACACTATCCGGGAAGAATCTTCAGAATTAGGAAAAAAATTATTTTACATGATAACGGATTTTCTTCGAGATGGTTTAATCTCAAATTCCTACTACGATATGTTTATTTGACAACAATTTTCAATTAGTGCTTAAACAAAAGAAAAGTATTATTCTTTATATGGTACAAATGTACAAAAAGTTATGGAATTAGAATTAAAAAATTATTTTGTGGTGAATATTGTACAGAAGGCACTTGTTTGAAGAACGTTGTCTTTTTATTTAAGCATTTGTTTACTCTATATTTTTTAACGAATTGCTGATATCAAACCTACAACGCCAAATAGAGGAATTGGAAATTAAAACATTTTTAAATGATATATTGACTACAATTAATTTTACTACTCGGATAAGATGATTCCTATGGTATACTTAGTCCGAAATTTTATCTAAAATAGATCATTTATTTTCGAGATTTACCACTAAAACATTCAAGAAGCCTAAAATTATAATGTTCTTATTATTCGGATTGTGAAAAGCAATTACTCCTTGTATACAGCACACTAAGCTGGATAATCAACTCGTGTTATCTTCCCTCTATATCGAGTTAGGAATGCAGTGCATAAAAAAGCAATGCAACATCGATACAACTTTTTCTATTTGCCCTTAAAAAATTAAACATAAAATTTCACATTCTGTACGAAAAATTGCATTAAATAAATATAATTAAGGAGAATTATAATTTGGAAAATCAGGATTGAATTTTATAACCGTTTCTCTTTTAAATAAAAAATTGAAACGTGGTACCCCACTTCTAGTAAATTATTCTTTCTGTATATTCAAGTTCTTTTGCATTTAAAACATCTTTGTCTTCCTAATTTGTTAGATTTATGTATTTATGTGTGAAGTTAATACACAATATGAAATTTCAGTATACTGTAAGTAACTCTCCTTACAAGGAAGGTATCCCAGGTATCCTTCTCCGAATTGATTCGCTTTAAAATATGTTAAAACAAATTGAAAAATAAGAAACACGTATTTCTTTTTTACCGGCGGAAAAACAGTTTAAGAGGGTGAAACGGCCCTTCGAAAAGGAGGATGTTAAGCGCCGATTTAATCATTTCACATATATGATCGTAATCGTTCCGGACCAAACCACTTAAAATATATATGTCACAACGAGAAATAGAAACCTTAATTTTCATGACTGATTAAATAATTTCGAGGGGATAAACCCTTCCCTTAAAACTTATACCCAACACCCGAATACTTGCGAATCAACACGTTTTTTAAGGGTATGACCAAATTGTCCGAAACTTTGACACATGACTGATGATCATCTAACAATTGTCCCGACACATTCAAAATTTGGATTTTTGGAAAAGATTTTTAAACTTAGCTCAGACCAGAATCAAAATGACGTCAGCTCTCATATTTCGATCAATATACAATTATCGAAGGCTATGATATGAGAATCGAAAGGGTCAGGACAATTTGACGACAATTTAGAACACTCTGGTAATCGATAAACTCGCATTTGAACGAGATAAGGGCAAAAAAAGTGTTGTATGCGCTTCTATGCTGAAACGATGGGAATACGAGGTCTCGGAGTGAGAATATAATTGATCTGGAAATCACAGATGGCGCAGGGGGTCCCTCTGCAGTCAATTAGGGCCCCGGAAAGCATGAATCCAGAGGATTTCTGGAGTTTTACTTCGATTTCTTTATAATTATTGTACGAAAACGACAGGTGGAGTATGCCATTTAATACAATACTCAATATAATTTGACCCAGCTGACAGATCGATTTTTTATCGACGTCGATAAAGAAGATTTTTCTAAATGCCTACGTTGCTGACACTCGTTTTTATATTGACAGATGTGTCGAATTATATTGGGTATGGTACTAAATGGCATACTCCACTTGCCGTTTTCGTAAGATAATTATAAAGAAATCGAAGTAGAACTCCAGAAATCCTCTGGATTCGTGCTTTCTGGGGCCCTAATTGACTGCAGAGGGACCCCCTGCGCCATCCGTGATTCCCAGGTCAATTAAATTTTCACTCCGAGATCTCGTATTCCCATCGTTTTAGCACAGAAGCGCATACAACACTTTTTTTGCCTTTATCCCGTTCAAATACGAGTTTATCGATTACCAGAGTGTTCTAAATTGTCGTAAAATTGTCCCGACCCTTTCGTTTCTCGTATCAGAGCCATCGATAATTGTATATTGATCGAAATATGAGAGCTCGACGCCATTTTGGTTCTGGTTTGGGCTAAGTTAAAATGTTGTTTCCAAAAATCCAGTTTTTGAATGTGTCAGGACAATTCTTAGATGATCACGAGTCATGTGTCAAAGTTTCGGACAGTTTGGTCCAATACCCTTAAAAAAAAAGTGTTGTATTCGAATCGACTGATTTGAAGAGGGTTTCACATCACCTTAACATATTTTAAAGCGAATCAAGTCAACGAGGGACCTGGGATACCTTCCTTGTTAATGATACAAAACCGCGATATCTCAAAAATTGTAGATCTGTGAAATTTCAGCACGTCTTCATCTTAACCGAGTGTCATCCTGATATTTAGTACAGTCACAAAATGAATCCGAAGCAAAATTAAGCTTAAAGCCATGGCCAAGTGAATGCCGGAGTTTTGCATAATCGTCATCACCAAGCAGTCTCATAATAACGCATAACGAATTAACGACATTCGCGCATAAAGGAGCTGTCATCGGGCAAATATGAATCGGCTAAAGGATACGACTATAAACATAATTAAATACTAAACACTGACAGACTTTTCATAGTGCTACATATATGCCCAGAACAAACTAGATTCGAAGATATTTTAGGAGATTTGTAAACATTGAATTTCGTGTGCGTACATATGGTAAGAATAAGAAATCACAAGGATTATTTACGTTTATTGCCCTTTCGAATAATGGAAACGCATGTGCCATATTTTTTTTTTTCAAGATCAGCATTTTTAAAGAAAAGAAAACGGGCACTTAAAATATCCCGAGAAAAGCAGGCTCGTAGGGAAATATTGTCTTTTCAAATTAGGGAAAATCATCGAACATTTTTTTCATTCATGATCTGGAAATATTTATATATCAAACTTTTCTGGAGTGTCCGAGAGCTGGAATTACTATGGAAGGAATTTTTTGATCGAACTTAAGTGATATTCGAATTACTTGTAAGTATCGAGATACATCGTAGGAATCACGCCCATTTGCAGGACATTTACTAAAAGATCCCAAATTTTACGAATCAAGCACTCATACTAAACATCAATTTTGAAAGTTAACTAATTAACTAGCAAACATTGGGCGAAAAACTCCATTAAAACATAACTAACGTCAAAATCTCGCATTAACGAAAATACTATCGAATTTACAAACGATGACAAAGAAGCTATTACAAAGCGATTAAGGGGATGTGAAAGTGGCATCCGAAGGTTCAGTCGTTCATGAAACTTTTCCACGGACTAGGTGTACCGAATCGTTTCATAATTTACAACACGAATGTGAAGGCCCTAAAGTAGGTCCCGACACTCATGGAATTTCATTTTTTATCAAAAACTTTGGAAACATCTATAAACGAATTTTTGAAAAATTGAAATTTCATAGGTGTCGGGACCTTCTTTATAGCTTCCATATTTACATTGTCAAGTTTGAAACAATTCGGTACACTAACAAGGAAGGTATCCCTCCGATTTGATTTCTTTTATAATACGTTATAGTAGACTAAAAACTAAGCGACACGTATTTTTTTTTATCTGCCATTAAACACTTTAAGGGGGTGAAACCACCATCCAAAGTAAGACATGTCAAGGGGCGATTTGGCAGTTTCACCCACAAAAACATAATATTTTTTAACCCATCCACCTAGAAAACCTTTCTCATAACGAGAAATGAAAAATATAATTTTCTCAATTAAAAACAAAAAAATTAAGAGGTGAGCCACTCCTCACAGGCCTTACTTTGAATGGTGGTTTCACCCCCTTAAAGTGTTTAATGACAGAAAAAAAAAATACGCGTCGCTTAGTTTTTAGTCTACTATAACATATTATAAAAGAAATGAAATCGGAGAGATCGACCTGGGGATACCTTCCTTGTCAGTTTGGAGAAAAGTTTCATAAACGAGACCACTTCACGCCACTTTCACATCGCCTTAAATTCAGCGGGTAGACACATCATGAAATACACTGCCAAGAAATGCAAGCAGATTCCCTTAAGAACCCTTATAAGTTATTCTCCTAACAGCTTCAACAACTATAGGATGTCTGGGACATGTTCCCAAATAACGAGCAATAGGCAAAACCGTTCGAACCAAATCTTATTCGTTGCTTACGAAAGCATCTCTCGTCATCGGTATCGTTTAACCAACGCAAAGATTTCACAAAAAGCATCACGAGAATATGCTTCCCGACTGTCTTTTCGTTACTCTCTCCGAACGAAAGACAAGCCAATAGAAACAAAGACAGTCGAATGGGAGCGCTGCAGTCGAGTTTGAGGGAATCCGCGACACGACGAGACATGCCAGTTCATTGAGCGATGACACATACTTTAGCGTTAATGTCTTTAAAACGAAACGCTAAAGAAGATGGCGGTTCTCCAGCCTTCACTAGCATACCTCCTCCCCACATACCGGCTTGATTACCGGCGGCTCCCGGCCACGGAGCGGTGTTCGGTTGGCTGGGAGTGGGGGCATTGGTCCACATGTTCGACGAATCAGCAGACTCGTCATCCTCCCCCCAAGTACCACCGATGTTGGTCGAAGGTGTGTGTCCCCAGGGGGCTTTTGCTTGCTGCTGAGGGGGTGGTTGCCCACCGTTGCGCAAGTTAGCCTCCCAGAGATCCGTGCCGTTGTTCACGGGAGGCTTCCACATGGGTACGCCATCTTTGGTCATGCTCGGCTCCGGTGATGTTGGGACGTCCCAGTTGGTGTCTTGGTTCACGTGTTGCTGCCGGACAAAATAATGTTATTATTCAGCCTGAACATCAGGCAGAGATGAACGAGGAGATGTTTCGCGCCATTGTCGAAAGGGAGGCACGGCTCCCTAGCGCCGTGGAACTGCTTTCAAAGGGGCGAAATGTTCTCTATCGATAAAGAAAAACGCGTCTGCTGATTTCAAATACAGCGTAGTATCGATGGAATGAAGTTATCGCCTTTTGGTTTTTAGTATCAGGGTCAACGGAGGCTGGAAAAGACTACCGAATATCAAATAAAGTTGTTATGCGTGGATGATTGAGATTACGACACGGCACCTACGTATACCCTGTTTTACCGATCGCGAAGATTTCGCCCCTTTGAAAGTAGTTCCAATTTTTACAGAAGGGTGAAGGGCGCAGAGGGCGCCAGTTGGTCGTGTCTCCCTTTCAAACAATGGCGTGAAACATCCCCGCTCATCTCTGATATGAGGGCAACTGGAGGAAAATCGAGCCCGAATGATATTATATTGAAAGAATCGGTCACTCGAGATTCTTTCCTCTTCCTATGTGTTTAGCCACGAAAAGTAACAAGAACGAATACCAAGGCACATATTTAAACAGGCAATTAATTGAAAGACTGCACTTCCACCTATTACATATAACTTTTGTAACATTATATTCTTCTTATAAAAAAAATACCATTTGCGCACCTCCGTTCACAATGACCTTTAATTTGTACATTGACTGCCACGCTGATCGATGGTCGGCAAACGCTTTATAATAATATACTCGTCTTTCTTTTTGACGATCAGTGTGTTAAATGAAGAATACTACAGCGTCTTTATGGACAATTCTGTGCCCGCGACTTCGCAAATTAATAATATATGGACTTACACATCCCCAGCCATCCTGACTAAACAATGCTTCTCGCATAGTGTTTAGTTGTTCCAACTGTTGCTTGGTTGATGGATTGTTGCTAGCCGGGGTGTTACCACTACTAACGGATCCTTGCACAGGATTGTTCTGTTGATTATTGTTTGCGTTGGAACCAGAAGGTTGCTGTTGAACCCCACCGTTGTTGTTATTTTGGGCCGAAGGATTTTGCCCTGGTCCCCCAGCGGTGTTCCCCTTTCCTTGGGACCATTGGCCGCTATTTTGATTTCCTTGAGTCGAGTTGTTCGACTGAGATGTTGGCGGACCGGACTGCGAATTCGGCGGTTGATTCGGGTTGTTCGCCTTATTTACATTACCTATTAATGAAAACGGTACATCAAGTAAAAACAATTCGCTAACATATCGCAGCCCAAAGTGTACAATGGCGGACATGAATGTCTCCCCTGCAGATACGGCATCGCCTGTGCAAGAAGGGAGGGCATTGATGTCTCCCAGTGTACATCCCACTAATAAGGAATAAATTTCGACAGATATCTGTGTCACTTTTTATGAGGATCTTACATCTATGTACAACAAAATTGAAATTTGAAAAAAAAAATATAAGTTCATTAAATGTGGTAAAAACAAAATTGAATTAAAAATGCGTATGTGTTTCTTTTCATCGTGTTGAATAAATAAAACACACATTGAAACAAATCCGTTTGTTTGTTCTATGTAATGTATACATTAAAATATGCAGATAGAATGAAACAAAAAGTCAGACATTTGTCGCATACATTAATCGATGAATGTATAAGCAATTACTAGAAATACTAAATGCACGAAAGTACGGATTTTAAATGATAGTCGTGGCTGTAATACGTATACCAATATAGTTTTAAAAAGTTAAATTTTCTTAGAAATTTTCATCGTATTACATCCCAATAGAATTCCAGCTTACGTCGTAATTAAAGAATAAAATAAATCCCACAACATATAATGTATAAGACACTATACCTACATTTATTATTTGTTTCGTTTCTATTTAAAAAACTAGATTTCCTCTGAAGTAAAACTTTTGAATAAAAACTTATTAACATTATGTTATTTACAGTCTCAATGGTCCTACAAAATACTATAATATGCAGTATTTCAAAAGAACAGATTTCTCTTCAAATACTGGTAAAATTTGATAAACATATTAAAACAGTTACACTAACAACAGAAGATTATGTTGTAGATGGATAATTCTGTTCTAAAATGTTGTCTTAAGGGGATTAGGAGATTGTAAAATGTGTTTTAATTAAAGTAAGTTTAAAAGAGAATGAAAATGTATGGGAAATATTTGCATACGGAACAATTATATTTGATGGTTTAAGGGGATATGAAAGTGGCATCCGGAAGCTCAATAGTTCATGAAACTTTTCGTCGAACTGGGTGTACCGAATTGTTTAAAACGTTATAACATGAGCATAGAGGCTATAAGAAGGGCCCTGACACCCATGAAATTTCATTTTTTTATAACAAATTTTAAAAATAGCTAAGAACGAATTTTTAAAGAGAGGCACACTTGGAGTAGAACACCGCACATCGGTGGTGCTTGAGTGGCACACTTGGAGCGTTAAGGGTTAATATGATAAAATAGAGAAAGGTTGTTATCAGTCACCTGGGTTGTTCTGTGGACCTGGCGGCAGCTGATTCTGGTTCTGATTAGGGTTTCCAGTGACGGGTCTGTTGACGCTGTTGGTTGCCCAATTGTTGGGAGGGCCAGCACTGCCCGGTGGGTTTCCAGGAGTCGTTCCCCAGCCAGACTGGGCGGCGTTGTTGTTGTTGGGTGTCGTGGCTTGGGCATTTCCCCAATTGGGTGGGACCCCGTTGTTCAGGGTGCTCTCGCCACCGCCCACCAGCCCCAGATAAGTAGGGATACCCCAGCGTTTCTTATACTCGTGGATGAATTGTTGTTCCTTCGAAAGCGTCGTGCCGAAGAGCATCCTTAAGGTGTTTCTTAAAGCATCTCTCAAGTTTGCGTCCTGAGCAAGTACAAGGTTGCGGACACGAGCGATGAACGCGCCCCTACGGGCGAGCGAAAGGATCTCTCCGGGTCGTTGGGTTACATCTACGTTCGCAAAGGTGTCGTCGTTACTTATCGCAGTGATCCGGGACTTATCGTAGGTGCACAACACTTGGTTACTCGAAATACTTTTGCATTCTCTTGCCGGTCCCAGTCGTAGTCGGGTTACATCCACTTCGTTCGAGTTCGCCGAAGCGATCGTCCGGGTGGCGGGCGGTCCTCGTTCGTTAAGAGCGTATGCCCCGAAGAGACCCAATTCCAGAGGGACTCTCCATAGTCTCGTGGTCGTCGCCGTTGACGGTTCAAAGACAATACTCTCAAGTTGGTTCGGCGTGGTCGCCGCGTTTCCCCCGAAGACGACCCACGGCTGGTCGTCCCGAAGCGTCGCAAGGTTGCACGTGCGCGCCATTAAGAAATTCTCTCCCGGTTGGCCGCATCGATCGCATTTAAGTAGTAGTAGCGGTTGTTGTCGTCGTTTAGTAGCATATAACTTAATCGAGTCTCGTGCAGCGCTCGCCGGCCGGCTGCGGTCCGGGCTGGGCTGCTCGACTCGATAGACAGGTACAGCGTTAATTTGGGATGTGACGGTGGCTGGTTGGCGTGTAAGCGTCATCGTAGGCTCGCAGGTAGTCAGTGTAGGAATGTTAACCTCTGACCGGACTCGCTCGTCGCCTTCGTATTGGAGTCGGGTGGCGCGAGACATATCAGACTTATCGCTAGACTTATCGCTCGGCGTAGACTTAGATACGTGCTTAATCGTAGAATCTTTAAGACCAACCTTAGTAGACACTTGATACTCATCGTTCTTAAAGCTAGCGTTTAGAGGCTCGTTAGACTTATCGTTATCCTGAAATGAAAGAGCACCAACAGTAAATATTGTTGCTTCGGTACGGCTAATACCATCATCATCGTCATCAAAGTCATCACCCCCGTCGTGATCGGCGTCGTCGTCGTCGTCGTCGCAATGAGACCCTATTAAGAACCTAAAGTTAGTAGTCGTCGTTAAACTAGTCTTGTAGCACACAGCGACGTTAACAATGTCCTCGATAACATCTCGATTATTGTATCTAATATTAATTTCCTCACCGTTACCGAAACTAACGCTAACGCCGTTATCGTTATTAGAGTTACGCCTATTGTTATTATTACCGATCTCGTAACCGTAAACCTTAAGCTTTATCGTTAATGGAACACATATGCGTTGCTGCAGCTTCGTCACGGCGACCCGTCCTACCGGAGGAGTGGACGACGACCGGGCGCGCCCGGCGACATTTCCCTTTTTGGAAACGATAAGCGTATTGGAAGAACTGACGGGACGCCTAACCGCGATCAATTTGTGAGCATAGGCGGGGACCGATACAACGTCGAAATGCAATTTGAGGAAGTCACCGGGCCCTGGCCTCGGCGGCTCGGCGAAAGCGTAAGCGTCGTGGGCACCGAGTCGTCGCCGAGGCCGCGCGAGGCCGGTGACTAGGTGGCGTCCCAAGCCTGGCGACCGCGCGGCCCTCGGCCCGCCTTTGGCCACGAGAACGGAGACGGCGCCACCGGCCACTCGGTCCTGCGAGCGAGCTGAGTCGCCGCCGATCAGGAGGAGATAGTAATCACCGTAACGGTTTGAGCTGAGCAATATCACAGACTTTGAGTTATTATTATTATTACTTAGTACGCTAAGATTAGCCTTAAAGTTATTGTTGTCGCCCCCGAGGGGGCGGGACCCTAGTAAGGAGTAATTGTCGAGGGAGGCGGCGACACGCGACGGCCGCTGGGGGCGATCAGACTTGGGTATCCTAACTAGGCTAGGTACCCCAGCGGGGCGGCACGCGTCGCCCCCCTTAACGCGCACGCTTACGTTTACGCTTAACTTTAGTACCCTAACGCTTAACTCGCTAAAGCTATCCTTATTATCACTTAACGGCTTACGAGTAGACTTAGAGTTATCGGCGGAGCTGCCCGGGTCCTCACCGGGCGAGCCCGGTGTGTTTTGCTTTCTGTACTTGTGATGATTATGTTCTGCATTGTTATGGTTATTTACTTTATTATTATTATTATCGTAGGTTAGAAGGTGATTTGTTGAGTTTCTTGTGGTTGCTGGCGCCACTGACTGGCGGGCCTCGCCTGCACCGGCTGAGCGGAGCTCACCTGCGGACAAAACACACCAGATCAAACCGTCGTTCTCTGGTTATCCGATCGATCGACGATAAGCTTACTTCCTAAACGCTTAGTTACGTTTAGTTACTTTTCTTAAGGTGAAGTGAAACGCGTCGAGGAACTTGATCGACGTCGATAAAGAAGATTCTTTTATATATCGACGTTGCCGACGTTCGCTTTTGTATATTGACAGCTGGGTCGAATTACATTGGGTATTGTACCAAATGGCATACTCCACCTGTCGTTTTGGTACAATAATTATAAAGAAATCGAAGTGAAACTCCAGAAATCCTCTGGATTCATGCTTTATGGGGTGACACCCTGCGCCATCTGTGATTTCCAGGTCAATTAAATTTTCCCTCCGAAACCTCGTATTCTCATCGTTTTAGCACAGAAGCGCCTAAGACACTTTTTTTGCCTTTATCCCGTAAAAATGCAAGTTTATCGATTACCAGAGTGTTCTAAATTGTCGTAAAATTGTCCTGACCCTTTCGGTTCTCATAACAGAGCCTTCAATAATTGTATATCGCTCGAAATATAAGAGCTTGATACCATTTTGGTTCTGGTCGGGGCTAAGTTACAAAATTTTTTCTAAAAATCAAAATTTTCAATGTGTAAGGACAATTCTTAGATGACCACGAGTCATGTGTCAAAGTTTCGGACAGTTTGGTCCAATACCCTTAAAAAGAAATGTATTAGAATCGACTGATTTGAGGGGGGGTTTCACTTCACCCTAATTCGCTGTAATATTCAAATTAGTGTACAGGCATGTTGGAGTCCAAAACGGTAAAAGACATCTTTACGGTACTACGTATCATCTCGGACAGATATATCGACAGTCAATAAAGTACAGTAAATCAATACTTTTGACCGGTGAATTCGTCTCTTTGATAACACAACGTGTCGCAACTAATGAATCTTGAAATTAATTGAAATCTACTAACACACCACTTTGATCCTTTTCTTGGCGTTTAAATTTTACTCCAGTACTGAATTTCAGATTCGTTATTACTGGAATTCAGATGTATATTATATCAACTCGGAATATCTTTTACTATCGATAAAATGTGCATTCTGTAAAATGTTACATTACCAATTTATTATATTTTCTTGCGAAAAAATGAGTCGGTTTTATAGTACATATGAAAGGTTTCAGAAATGAGCTGCTTGAAAAATTTTGTCATAACGGTAATCGGTGCTTGTACTCTTGAATTTAATGTAAACTACTTGCAAAACATCTATGATCGAACCACGGATGAAATCTACCAAACCGACAAAAAAAGATAATCCTGTGCAATTTTTACAGAAAGATAACTGTACAACCCTACGGTATAACATTATAAACATAGAAATACAACTGCATCATCTTTAAAGTCACTTCTCACCTAATTACAAATAGAAATAAAAAGGGAATTTGATAATTGAGAGCAACATGATATTATTATTCCCACAAGTATGTTGTTAACTCCTTCCATAATTTCATATTTCATACAATTGTATCGTCTTTAAAGTCACTTCTCATTTAATTATAAATAAAAAAAAAGGGGAATTTGATAATTGAGAGCAACATGATATTATTATTCCCACAAGTATGTTGTTAACTCCTTCCATAATTTCATATTTCATACAATTGTATCGTCTTTAAAGTCACTTCTCATTTAATTATAAATAAAAAAAAAGGGGAATTTGATAATTGAGAGCAACATGATATTATTATTCCCACAAGTATGTTGTTAACTCCTTCCATAATTTCATATTTCATACAATTGTATCGTCTTTAAAGTCACTTCTCATTTAATTATAAATAAAAAAAAAGGGGAATTTGATAATTGAGAGCAACATGATATTATTATTCCCACAAGTATGTTGTTAACTCCTTCCATAATTTCATATTTCATACAATTGTATCGTCTTTAAAGTCACTTCTCATTTAATTATAAATAAAAAAAAAGGGGAATTTGATAATTGAGAGCAACATGATATTATTATTCCCACAAGTATGTTGTTAACTCCTTCCATAATTTCATATTTCATACAATTGTATCGTCTTTAAAGTCACTTCTCATTTAATTATAAATAAAAAAAAAGGGGAATTTGATAATTGAGAGCAACATGATATTATTATTCCCACAAGTATGTTGTTAACTCCTTCCATAATTTCATATTTCATACAATTGTATCGTCTTTAAAGTCACTTCTCATTTAATTATAAATAAAAAAAAAGGGGAATTTGATAATTGAGAGCAACATGATATTATTATTCCCACAAGTATGTTGTTAACTCCTTCCATAATTTCATATTTCATACAATTGTATCGTCTTTAAAGTCACTTCTCATTTAATTATAAATAAAAAAAAAGGGGAATTTGATAATTGAGAGCAACATGATATTATTATTCCCACAAGTATGTTGTTAATTCCTTCCATAATTTCATATTTCATACAACTGTATCCTCTTTAAAGTCACTTCTCACTTAATTATAAATAAAAAAAAAAAGGGAATTTGATAATTGAGAGCAACATGATATTATTATTCCTACAAGTATGTTGTTAATTCCTTCCATAATTTCATATTTCATTCATCAATTCCAAATTCGTTTACCGAAATAACCTTACGTACCACGATGAAAATGCCGTTCTTTTCTGTAAAATAAAGTACCACCTCCTTCCAAAACAAAACAAAACAAAACAACTTAACTCGACCCCATCGGACCATTTAAACATTTTTCCCGCCCGTTTGTTCCTACAATTTCCATTGAGTATTAAAAATATATTTTAAACTCGTCAATAAGCCAAGTTAACATACATTACATACATTTAAGGGGTGAAACAACCCCCCAAAGTTTGGCGAAAATTCGATTTTTATATTAATTTTCGTAGAAGCAGGGGAGGGAGATCGACGAAACTTGTAATATCTAATAACCTATATTTGTTTGTAATATCTATTAACTAATAATATAAATAAACAAGCACACCTACATAAGTTCCACTTACGCCATGTGATTGCTCACGGAAAATGAGGAAATACGTGTTTTTTGCTTTTTGCCAATGAACATTTATATATCGGTTGAAAAGAATGGATGTAGGTGGTATATGGGTATATCCCGACTATCTTTATTGGGTCATATCGTGACCAATTCATTATACATAATTCGTGTAAACGTGCTAATTCCTCAAAATGTCGTTCGTTTTCATAACATGCAATTATTTATAAATAACTTTTAAAAAATCAGTTTCAGTGACTGAAATTGTTTCGCAACAGATTCGATGACGATATAACTTAATAAAGATAGTCGCGATATACCCATATACCACCTACATCCATTCTTGTCACCCGATGTATAAATGTTTATTGGCAAAAAGCAAAAGACACGTATTTCCTCATTTTTCGTGGGCAATCGCATGGCGTAAGTGGAACTTAAGTAGGAGTGCTTCTTTAATGGATATTACAAAATAATTTCGCCTCAAGGGTAGTTCACCCCCTTGAGGCGAAATGTATATAACAGATACCGCATCACTTCAAAATAGTTATATAGAAATCTTGAATGGTAAATACGGTATGCAATTGTAACTCATGGAGGCCGTCGATACAAACGTAAGTGTACAATTACATCGTCAAGGCATGCTCGTATATATTGACTGGTTCATCGTTAACAGACTGTTCATTTCCATTTATCGAGAAGGTTCGAGTTGAGGAGCTGAGCTTACAATTCTTTTCAACTTCTCATGAATCGATGTGCACAGAAACGTCAAAAGTTGCATAGGGTTGCAATGAAAATTAAAAAAAAAAAACAACCGTGGTATCGATTACAATTTCTTTTTTATTTTCAGAAGTGTATCTGAGGAGTCAACTGTACCCTAAATTGATATGATTTTTTATGAACATCAGTAATAATTGCGTCGAACTTCCGCTGACATTCATTGCAGATTTTATATATTTTGTTTTTGCCTTCTATAAAACACACCGTGCCAATAATTCAAGATACAAGATGTTAATCTCACAAAAATCGATCCCGAAGAGAAAAATTTTCCACGTTTTAAATGCCATATTTTCTGTTACAACCTGTATACACATATTCAAGATATTAAACAAAGTCAATACCATTCGGAATAAATATAAATAAATCGACTGTAATGAAAGATCGGAAGAAAAAAAAAAAATTTCTCTTTTATGTACATACTTTCTGAAATTGATACACATTTGTACACTTCTTGAGTAGACTTATATCCTAAAAAGTGTAGAACATTAGCATATTAAAATTCCAAACGCAATTGCATACTATATTGATAAACATGTATACCTTGTAAAAGCTTCGATTACTTGTACCATATTTTAAACAGATATTTCTGTCAGCGTAGATGAACGTACAAACAGGGTCAACAAAGACTAAGAGAATGAAAATAAAAAAACAGGGAAAAAAAGAGCCAAGTCTCACGCAGTTGGCGTGGCAGGACTTTGTACCATATTTTAAACAGATATTTCTGTCAGCGTAGATGAACGTACAAAAAGGATCAACAAGGACAATAGACCTAAGAGAATGAAAATAAAAAAAGGAAGAAAAAAAATAAGGGCCGAGTCTCACCCAGTTGGCGTGGCAGGACTTTGTACCATATTTTAAACAGATATTTCTGTCAGTGTAGATGAATATACAAACAGGATCGATAAGGACAATAGGCCTAAGAGAATGAAAATAAAAAAAGGAAGAAAAAAAAAAATAAGAGCCGAGTCTCACCCAGTTGGCGTGGCAGGACGGTTAAGAAGTCATTGGCGGCGGTAGCTTCGGGGTGGCTGGTAGGTGCTGCCATCATGCTGCTGTTTATGAATTCGATATCACAGTACCTAGCGTGCTCTGGTCCTTCCCCCTCCTCCACCCCACTCAGACTGCTTCCCTCTAATACTACTACATCCCTCTGTAAAAAAGAAAACCAAGGTATAACATCGCTCTCTTTAAAATAAGAACAAAAATAATCTTATTCGACATGTATCCCGATTTTAGAAAATCCCGTGGACGAGACAGTGGGCTTCGAGGAATACGTATACGAAAGAGAGTTCCAGACATTACACCAAAGTGAAGAATTTACGACGTCGAGTCTCTTTAAATTCTATTTCCATTTTTCGTATTTATATCTTCTATTTTACTGCATGTACGCATTTGAAATGCCGATTCCTATCTAACGCTGCAATTATAGCTTTAGGACAATGTGAGCCATGTAGAAATTAATAAAATGTTGAACACACGGTTTATATAGTTGTAATTGAATCAGTTTAGCCAGTATATAAGATAGATCACAACATTTCTGATCGAAAGCGTCGGTTTGTATTTCACTCACAAGGAAGGTATCCCAGGTCGATCTCTCCGATTTCATTTCTTTTATAATATGTCATAGTAGACTAAAAACTAAGCGACACGTATTTTTTCATCTGCCATTAAACACTTTAAGGGGGTGAAACCACCATTCAAAGTAAGGCCTGTGAGGGGTGGCTCATCCCTTAATTTTTTTTTTAATTGAGAAAATTATATTTTTCATTTCTCGTTATGAGAAAGCTTGTTCAGGTGGATTGATTTCGAAATATTATATTCTTGTGGGTGAAACTGCCAAATCGCCCCTTGACAAGCCTTACTTTGGATGGTGCTTTCACCCCCTTAAAGTGTTTAATGGCAGATAAAAAAAAATACGTGTCGCTTAGTTTTTAGTTTACTACAACGTATTATAAAAGAAATCAAATCAGACAAATCGACCTGGGATACCTTCCTTGTTAATCGTCACCCAATTGTTGTTAACATTTTAGCATACTAGCCTGATCGTAAAAGCAGCTAACTATTAGAATATGCCAAAACAATTTAGACAAGTAGAACAATAAAGTATTGCTTAATATTTGAATTCCTACGACTTTGCCTAAGTATGTGTTTCTGTAAATAAACCATTTAGTGTAGTTAGATTCTTGTTTATGTTAGGTTAAGTTACATTAGATCTAATTTACTCAATACTGTAAAACAAATATTTGACTCCCATTGAACATCAAATGAAGCTTTTTAAATATCTTTACATTTGCCTCGAAAGATTCCATATGGTATTCTAGTTCCGTTTTTTTTTCTCCTTTTTTTCCCCCCTAATATGACAACTATTGTGTAAATCCATGAATGGCTTAATCTCTGCTCCTTTCTGTGAATCGATATATTCCATTTTCAAAAATATTTCGGAATACGTTCATCATTAACATAAGAACTTTTCAATGTAGAAATAAACTCTTCATTTCAAAACGCAAAAAAAAGAAAAAAAAATGTAAACTGATTTATTGTTTCTTAAACGAATCCCTAACCTAAAGCCTAATTCATTCCTAGCCTGATATGATACTAACAATAAGTTATATTTACTGAAAGTAAAAAATGGCCCCCTCTTACAGAATTGTTTTAAATTATATAAAATCTACTTTAAGTAACAAATCAAATGACCGCGTTTTACGTTGTAATAAGCAACAATGAATGACACTCACCTTGGAATTTTGTACGAAGGCATTTGTTTCGGTAGAAATCTCATGTGAACTAGAATTGTGTGGAAACATTGGGCTCAGTTCTTCTTTGGCAGGCAATGCATAGAAACCAAGATCTGGGAAAATAAATCTGAATATTGATTCCATGACGATAGGAAAGAATATAATATTATTCGGAAATAGAAGTTATCGTTGCAGGTACAATGGCGGACATGAATGCCTCTCCTGCAGATACGGCATCGCCTGTGCAGGATGGGAGGGCATTGATGTCTCCCCAGTGTACAATTTATAGTTTGCGTTTACATATATAGTAATTTCCACATTGAAATAAAAAAACCTCTCAAACCAGATTGTTGTAGTAAACTAAATTACATAGGAAAAGAAGATGCGTAACAGAACAAATGTAAACCGACAATATGTCTTTTCAATGCTATTTAACTATATATCACAATATGTAGTTCTTGTTCTCTCAAATTGCCTTTACAATAAATATAGAAAATTAAGCAAAAAAAAAAGAATAAAGTAATATAACATGTAAAAACTAACGAAACGTGATCCAATAAAAGTGAATCATTTCCAGTAATAGAGTGTTATTAATTCTTTACGAATACAAATTTATTAAAAATATCTGCAATAATTATTGAAAGCTTATGGGAGGAATAAAATAAGCTTTTCAGTATAAATAAAGAGACTGTTCGAAAATATGTTCATTACAAAGCTTAAATGTTACAAATATGGCAATCATCAATAACATTAATTATTTCAATTTCCGAACAGGTTCTACATAAGTACCAATACATACGTTGGAAGGAAATGTATGTAATCATATAATAAAGTTGTCATTTACACAAATATATGATATAATTGTGAAACCAAAATGAAGGAATAATGAACAATACTTATTTATACATACCTCGTAGACTATCACTATCAGTGCGCTCCTAGCTCCATGCCAGAGATCTGCAACAATGAGAAAAATCATACCATTATAAAATGTTTTGATTCTATGTGAATATAATTGTTATTGTAGACAAAGTATGTAAATAACTTCTCTTCAACAGAGAAAATAAAATTGTACATTAGTCCATAGGAAAAGTGACGTGGAAATTGAAAAACCTAAATGGCTTACATGTTAACAGAATGTTATCTCCGTCGTGTTAATATTCCTTGAAAAAAATTAATATTTTTATTCTGTTTAAGGGAATCTCAAGTGCTTAGATTTTCCACCGTAATAAATTATTGTTTACATTTTTGAGATGAATAATCTCTTCAATTACATTACATTGTTACTTCTTATAAGGAGAAAATTGATATCGAAGTACATTGCATAAAATAATAAGCATAATGCACTGTATTCAGAACGTGAGAAATAACGCGAAGGTTTATTAACAAGTGCTTGACCTTGTGTCCATGAATAAATTACTGCTTAATGAACGTATGTTTGCCTTTCCGTGATACACATTCACTTTGTTTATATCTTCTTATATTCATTTGTTTCATTGACGTAAATTCAGATAAATTCTTAGTTATATTATAATCGCATAGTAGTAATTAAAAGAATATGTATATGTCTCGGCACAAAATTCCTGTGTATTATTACACCTACAAGTTTTGATTTTGATAAAAAGAACTAATTGAAGGAGTTTTAAAACAAATATTTCATTTTATATTATATTATAACAAATATTTTATTTATTGAATACTAACAAAACTTGAATTACTGAGAACGTATCTTCTTCAAAGGATTCATACATCAACTTGGAAAAAATTTTTCATTGCACTGAATTCGTTTACGTTACTCTTATCTGATAAAAATTGATAAAGCCGGTCCAATTCGTCGAGCAAACATTTCGATATCACTCAATTTGTATTACTGAAAATATTGCCTTCTAACGTAGCAGCACATTGCAATGATTTGCAAGTCATTTTAGTATCAAAACCATTACGGAAAAAATATTCTGCAAGCTTAATTTAACTTAAAAAACAGTATCCACGTCCCTGCCAATATACAATGTACAATTCACTGTCAATCCTTTTCCAGAAAAAATATTTAATTTAAACCATCATAAATACGTGTTGAACTATTATAATAAAAAGCAATAATAGATTAAACAGGCCGCAACAGTATTCCAGTTATTTAAAGCACCCGTCGTTAATAATTTATCTATATACTCATCACCCCCTTCTTTCAAAATCTTAAATATACAATCTACCAAACGCTAAATTTAACATCAAAGGCTAAAACATCCGAAATAAAGCAGGTTGTTATGAGATAAAGAGGTTATGTTACTTAAGTATATTTTTAAAATCTTATTTTTAGGCAAAGAGCGGTATCTCAGAAAATCTGCATTTAGATGAAAATACTCTAAAAATACAGATCCTGAGTCTTAAAAACGGCAGCTCTCTCCAAATTACATTGGAACCTACCGAAAACAATCTCATCGTCATGATTCGCCAAAACAAGAATTGCAAAACAATTCTTACAAGAAGGAATTAAACGAAATACTCCAAGATCTGACGAGCCTCGGATGACGATACAAATTCCCAAAGTTCATCGAAGGATGCAAAACAATAATACAAACTCGATACTTTTTCTATTTGATTAATTTATTTAACAACGAAATTCATTAAAGATATTTCTTGTTAAATTGTAAGACTTGAAGCGTCTTTGTTTTATGCAGTTCGCGAGACCATGTCTATTTGCAGTTAATTTTCTCCCAGCCATCTCCTCTCTGGGGGAAGTAGAGGTTGTGTTTCCAATTTTAGCCGAAAAGTAAAGTCACTGCGTACACTGAGAGACATCAATGCCCTCCCATCCTGCATAGGCGATGTCGTATCTGCAGGGGAGGCATTCATGTCCGCCATTGTACATGTGCGCCAAAAATTCTATTCTATCAAATTTCTTACCATCGTCGCCTAACTTGTTAAATAAGAAAAACGAGGAGCAAAGACTTTCTCTATGTAGGAAACTACAAATTCATGAAAACTAATTAACTGTCGTCTTACTCGCACCAAGCGACACTAACATCGACTTAACACTGAAACATCTAACATTAACAATTTTTAGTTGTAAATATTTTTTAATTTAAGGTCATATAAAAGAGTCAGCCTATATATATCTGAGAAGTCAAATCGTCGGTGAAATTATTCTCCGAATTGAATAGAGCAATTCGTTTAAAATTTTACCACGTCTATGTGAAGGCCCTAAAGTAGGTCCCGAAACTCACGACATTTCATTTTTCATAAAAAATTGATTTATTTATCATGGACTAGAACCAACATAGCGTGGTCCGTGCACGTCTTCGATGCTTTACGCTTCTTGGAGGCTTAGAATCGAAAATGAAGAGTTTCAGGACCTAGCTCGAACCATTTAGTTGCAGCTAAACGTCACAGATGGCGACGTTGGTCCTAAACAGTCGTTAGAATAATGAATTCACGGGATTTCGACAGTTTCACATCGATCTCTTCATTATTACTTTATTGAAATGACATATAGAACACTTCAGTTCGTATAATTCTCAACGCTGACTGTGAAAGACTTCAACATAAATATAAATGTCGGTAACATGAAGCGCCAGCTTATATCACCACTTGAATATTCAAAACGGCATTACCGCCAAAAAGTGTATACATGAATTTGAATTATAATCAACGTAGATTAAACTTCTCAGTGCCTTTCATATCACCTTAATTTTTTCTGTAATTTAAAGTAAGAAATTTGAAATTCAACATTGGCTGTCCTAGCATTAACTTTTCATATCAACTTAATAATTTTTAAAGCACTTATATACTGACAAGTAGAAAGCATCCTTGAAAATTTATATGTCGAAGCGCATATAGAGAATATTATAATTGAAACTTGGAATGAAAAAAAAAACTCATTTTACTTCATTCAAGTTATATTTAAATTAGAATTAAAAAATAATGCCGTTTAAATATATAATAGTTAAACTTGAAAATTAATGTGAAGATCATACTTTTATTAGTAACATAAACAACATTACCCTGTTAAATGTGAAATCTCAAAATGTACAGTTGTTAAATGAAGTTACGTTTCATTAATTTCTTTAATTAATCAATGTATAAAATCCCCTAATAATTCAAGAAATTAACGTCCCCTCAGAGAATTTAGCATGTATAAGTTGACAAAATAAGTACAAAAATAAGTTAAGTATAGTTATTAATTTATAACGTTAAATATCTTTCTCTTATCTCGACCAATGCTTGAAATATTGTAAATTTATTGCAGAATACACAAAGTCTTGTGATAATTCTGCAGATATAACATATTCGAGAGGGACAAGTAACATATATCAGTTAATAAATTAGATGTTATCTCTCTTCAGACCGCTTCTTAATTCACCATTAAGTTCCGTTCGATTAAAATGTTTTATAGTGAAACCGTAATCACTGCGAACATGTATTTCACTCGATAACGCCAATTAACGCTCACTCTCCATATCAATTTATTTACACGGGTTTAGTTACTAATTAATATCCAAAAATTTAAAGGCTCTATTCTCGTCGAAATTCTAGAGACAAATTCTACTGTCGGTACCGTAAAAAGTGTAAAAAAAAGTTCAAACACTTAGTCATCAAATGTTTATAAATCATGTTTTATAATACGATGTTATTACATCAGATTTTTTATGAAAGTACATTTTCAACCTACCTAATAAAAAGTACCCAACGAGAACAATGTCAAACGCATTAATTACCGAGTCAATATTACTTAAAAGTCTAATATATTTAATAAATTGTTTATTGGGCACCTTCTTACTGCAGAATAATAATACATCTGCATTACAGATAGTCAATTAAAAGATCATACTATTTATAAAAGTGTTATCTGAACTCATTACTCATGTTACCGTACATAAGGAATATTCCCAACGCGGTCTTACCTATCGCACTCTATATACAATATTTATATTATCATATAATTTTTGTTCTGTGCCAAATGAAAAAAACAGTTGTTCCTGCCAGGCATTTTTAACACGATTTTTTAATTTCTCAATGGTAATTTTTATGTTTAATAATTAAAAGAACCGTGCAGCCACAGTTTCAGGTCTCTTGAAACCCTTATCTTTCATCAATGCAACTTTTTCATTTTTAGACATTATTATAGTTTTTGTTTATAATTTTTTTAATTATATTTATAGTTAATTAATCACTCCACGGTGATGTAAAAATTGTCCTGCCATTTACCCATTGCCTACTGATTATCAAAACTAACATTTAGTCACGAACGACGCAAATTACCGGTCAATCGTTACACTTACAATTTTAGATTATTATCCAAAAGTCTAGTCATAGCCTATATATGAAATCCAGCCATACCAAACAATTGATAATTATTTCTTCACGTAACTCATATGTAGAGTATAAACCCAGTATTATCCGGGTTCGATTTCGCATTTTTTTTTATAATTTCGATTGCTCAGGTAGTAAACAATACTTTATAGTACAATTTCTTTTTATGTTAATACTTCCGAATACACAACATTCGAAGTTTCCTAATCTAAGAATTATAACAAATGGGCATCTTTTTCCCTCTGATAAGGAAGGTATCCCAGGTCGATCTCTCCGATTTGATTTCTATTATAATATGTTATAGTAGACTAAAAACTAAGCGACACGTATTTTTTTTTTATCTGCCATTAAACACTTTAAGGAGGTGAAACCACCATCCAAAGTAAGACATGTCAAGGGGCGATTTGGCAGTTTCACCCACAAGAATATATTTCAAAATCAATCCACCTGAACAAGCTTTCTCATAACGAGAAATGAAAAATATAAATAAAAAAAAATACGTGTCGCTTAGTTTTTAGTCTACTATGACATATTATAAAAGAAATGAAATCGGAGAGATCGACCTGGGATACCTTCCTTGTGAGTGGAAATACTAAACCGACGCTCGTGGGTGAAACTGCCAAATCGCCCCTTGACGTGCCTTACTT